CATTTGCTGATCTGTTGAATGAGACATTATGATTGTCACAACCTTCAAGACGACGCAATCGAGATGAAGTTCTTTAAGAACGACATGTTCTTCTTCGAATAGATGGCAAGATACAATGCATTTGGTATCACAACCTTGGAAGAGACTGCCAATGTTTGGTGATTTTACTAGAGGTAGGAACAACTCTTGATGTTATTCTAAATATTTTATTCGAAGGAAGTTATGAAGGCTTCAACAACAATCAAATAATTGGGTGGTCTTCCTATCCTCGTATGGGACACTACCGATAGTTGAGAGGCCCTATCAATCATCTTCGAAGAGAACAAAGATCAGAGTATGTGGCAAATACAATTTGTTGCATCATAAATTTCTTCAACTTATAATGATTGCTCCTCGTGGAATTCGTCCCTAGAAGGGGAGGTAATGTCATGGACTTATGCATGTAAGCTAGTAATTACATGTATAAATAAGTAGAAGTAAGTAAAATTAGATAAAAGTAAGTTAATTCTATAGTATTTACTATAAAAGCTTACTAGAAGCTTTATAGACGCTGCTTTGATTTTATAGGTGTCTTTAATTGACTTTTTGGATTAGAAATATGGTCAACAAGTTGGCCATGTGCTATACATGTTATTAGCTTGAAGACGAAGCTAACTATGTGGCCCTCACATAGAAAAATTTGCCTTGTAAGTCAAGGCATGTGTCCTACAAAGTCAACACATATTGAAGGTCCTATAGAACGTCGCCACATAGCCTCTAATTAGATAGTATATATAGAGACAAGAGTGAAGTCTTCTTCACTCTTGTCAACTCCTTTCTTGCTTCTAGTCTAATTTCAAGGGTCTCTAGTTTTCTTGGTTTTTGGCAATAGCCATTCCAGTTTCTTTTTTAATATACATATCAAGTTATTTCTATTTTGTCATCTTTCTTTGAGAGAAGCCTCACTTGTTTATTTATTTTTATCATGTTCTTGTCCTTGATAATAACACCTAACATGACATATGATATGGCATTAAAACTCAACCCGGCAATCTTAATTTAATATCAACCATGACCTAGGATGTATGTTTTTGGATAGTGGTTAATAATAATATACCTTAGAATCTCCTTTACACTAATTTAAAATGGAACATATGGATCTAGAAGTGTAGGGAAGAATGTTTTGGTGGTGGTGTTATTAAATAAGTTGTGTACCCTTTTATTTAACTTTTATTATTTATTAATACTAATATATTATAATTAGATATTTTTAAAATATAGATATATTGTAATAAAGGAAAAAAACTAATAATTAATAATAATGTTATTTTAAAAAACTTAATGATATTTTTTAAAAAATAAAATTATATACTTCATATATAAATATATTAAAAAATAAAATAAATAAAAATATATATAGATCTTTAATTTTTAAAATTATATGTATATATATATATATATATATATATATATATATATGTATATATATGTATTTTTTTAAAAAAACTTTTATATTATGTTAATATTGCTAACTTATCTAGATGATTAGTGTTAATTATATTCACTAATTAGGCATTAGATCTAAATTAATAGGATCTAATTAGTAGATGAACTTGAATGTGTGGAGTTTAGACAATAGATAAAACTAGATTAGTAAGGTTTAGATAATAGACAAATCCAAATGGACAAGATTTTGATAAGAATCAACAAAGATTTGAAATTATTCAACCTATCCAAGGACCAAACACTTAAAGTATAACATATTAGATTAGAATAACATAGTAAACTAACTAGCTAAGTAAAATAGCTAGTTTCTGAAATTAATTAGAAGTAATGTAAATTTACATCAAATCTTAATAGAAGCAATTTTCTTATCTTTGATATATTACAAACCTTATTAAAATTTCATACTCTATCTTCATTGATTAATGTTAGATTCAATTTAATATTTTCTCTCTAAATTTTTTATATTAAGCTAAATTTATTTTTTTATAATTTGGCTTATAATTGTAGTTGATATAAAATATTATTATTTATGGTTCTATTTAATATATTTACTCAATAGAAGTTAATTATGTTGAAATTGATTAAAATTAGTATTATTTTAAATCAAACGTATTTGAATACTTTTTGAAGTTGATTACTAATCATGATCAAATTATTTAAAGAATTTTTTGTTAATTTCTAAACTACCAAACTTTAGATCAACTAAAGCCTATTGTATCAAAGACTAAACCAATGATAGACAAGTTAAATATTTGAACTTTGGATTAATGGATATTTATAGTGTCAAAGTCCATATTAAAGACATTTTTGATAGAAGTACAAGGGCTAGACTAAAATACATATATTATGCCAAAGTAAAAAATAAAAGCATATCAAAGTCATAAATTATAAGAAAATTCTAAAGAAGCAATGCATTCTAATGATAATCAAAGTTAGAAAGTAGATAAATTAAAGATAAAAACTACAATGGTTATTACCAAATACATAGAGACTAAAGATTTTTAAATTAAGACAAGAACACATGAAAGGTATTGATAAGAATGAAAAAGATCATATTCTTGCCTCTATATATACAATCTAACTACAAAGTTCCATGAAAGTGTTCTATAGATCATCTAACACATATTCAATTTGCAAGATGTGTATTAAACTTGCAAGACAAATTTTCCACATGCTCCACATGGCCAAATTGTATTAAAAGTAGCTAATCTATGCAACATGTGAGTTAAACTTACAAGATAAATTTTCCACATACTCCACATGGCCAAATTATACTAAAAGTAGCTAATCCATGCAATATGTGGCCATTTTATAAAATAAGAGGTCAATATGTGCAATACATGACTAACTTGTTGGCTAAGTTTTAAATCTATCAATCACTTACAAATGCGCATAAAGTCAAATTGGTATCTATAAAGCTTCAAGAATATTTTCCATAAAATATTAAATTTACTTTTTTTTACTTCTATCTAATGCCTCTTATCTTCTTAATTGCAAATTCTAATGTTGGTGTCTGTGATAGAGCTCTTAAGGAGGTTATTCAAATTCTAAGTGAGTAAATACATGTTTTTTTGTCTTTTGTCTTTTGTCTTTTTTTTGTGTTATTTATAAAATAAAAAAATGTATTTAATTTATTTTTATTGTTGGTGGTTATTTTGGATGAAATGGACCTTTGACCAACTTAAAAATTAAGATTAATAATAAATTAAATAATATGATTTATTTAAATTATATTTAAATTATAATAAAGAATATTTTAATTATTTTTAAAATTATTAATATATATTATATTAATAATTAAAAATTATAGTCACATTTTATATAGATACTTATTAAATAATTTGTTTTAATAAATATATAAAAAATAGATTCCAAAGTTTTAATTATATATGTAAGATACAAAGATCATTCATGCTTTTTTATGATTTTTTAACATAAATATTATAAATTTAATATAATTCTATTTCATATAATATAATATTTATTACCATTATTATTTTATTTTATTTTAAACATCTATAGTAAGCAAACATAACTGTGTTATGCATGTGCTATGAAAAGTTTATAAATTATTTGATAGTAGTGTGTATGTATGTATATATATATATATATATATATATGGGTAAAGAATTGCTAAAGTAACATCTCCATATTTTGAACACAACACTCAATGCATTATTTGTGGACATTTGAAGAATTTGTGTAGAATAAGTGATAACATGGATGTGAGTGTGGTACATCTACTATGGATTGTTGGTGTGGCAGTGCCTATGAGGGATTTTGAAGTTGCAAGTTAGCAGCAGGGGAGAGCAGAAGAAGAGTAGGAGTGGAAGGGGAGAAGAGTGACATGGAAGAGTAGAAGAAGAGTAGGAGTTGACCCACATGGAATGTCACATCAACAATATGGAGGTATTGCTTTAGTAACTCCCATGTATGTATATATGTATATAATCATTGCTTAAAAAATAACACAATATTTAATATTTATTTTTTTTAATCTTGAATTTTTATAAATTTTATAAAAAAATTATATCAATATAAAAAAAAAAGTCATCCAATTTACAATTTGAACAATAATATTTTATATCAATTTAATTTTTATGACCAAACAATAAATTGATTAGGATCTAGGATTACAAAATGAAGTGCTTAAGCAACATAAAATTCATTTAACATATTGTCATGAAGTAATTATTTTTGAAGTAACATTTTATTAAATTTAGACAGTGCAACTATTGAAACAATAACAAATGGATAAATCCTATCTATGAGTTAGATCATAAAATCACTCATTTTAGTAGTGTACAATTTAGTGCTCCAAAAGTTCACTAAAAAGAATGAAAAAAACTCTCCTAGGATACAAAACATTATCAAATATATTATATTTACTTCAAAATAAAGTCAATGAAGCTATCTGGAGAGAAATTTAAGAGTCAGGGCAGTCTAGAACCAATAAAGTCCACAATTTTGAATATGAACTAGGAATTGGAACAAGCATCAAGTTAAAACCATCAATAAAAATAATGACAATAGCCAAATTAAATATGAAACAAGGATTAGAGATTAATTTATATTTTAGATTAGAATTCGATCCAAGATCGGAATCAAAACAAAGAGCAACAGCAGCAACAAAATAAAATCCACATTATCTACACACGTATTATAAACACCACCTCTTCCCCCTTCTCAAATCCTGTACCTAAATCATTGGTTTCAGATGAAGTTAAGACTTTGTAATCAAACAAACAAGTAAACAAAGAAAGAAAGGTGCATGATTCGACTATTATACCCATGTGCTGTATCAACTCACAACAGGCGGAGAAAAAAGTGTATTGGGGGATCATGCCCCTGAACCGCGCACTTGGTGACTGGGCAAAGGGGGGGGGGCTCAATTGCCAAGTGGCGACCCTCCATGAGAGACACTGTGTAGCCACGTGGGGATCATGGGTATTCCACACGTGGCAGCGCCATGTGGCAGGGGCAAAAAGCCTTTCCAAGCACTCCAAGGGAGCCCAAATTTCCCCTTCTGGCCCTCGCGATCCAGGCACCACGACACCCATTCCTTACCCATTCCTCACCCTCATCATCGCGCTACTGTTGCTCACCATTCCATAATTTCTATGCTTTTGTAGGCAGGAATACCTTAGACTTCGAGCAATCCGCAAGGAACCTGAGGTCCTCCTCCTCCATTCTCTTCTGCTGCTGCTGCTGCTGCTGTCACGTCTTTGTATACGTTTTTGCTTCTGTTGTGTGTTGAGCTCTTCTGTGAATTTCAGGTGTTGTGATTGTGCTTTCAGAAGCAGTTTAGAGTCCTCCCTGATTGGAATCGAGCGTTAGTGCTGATGGTGAAGATGTGCATTGCAGATAAGGAGTGAGCAATTTGGAGTGAAGCAGGGGATTCAGGACGTGTAATCAACATTTTATTTTATTTTATTTTATTTTTTTACAGTGTGTGGTTGAGCAGGGATTGTTTTATTGGTTGGAAACATGGCGGCAACTTTGGGATGCAACACAGCACACGTCCTGTATAATGCACCAGTTGCTGGGAACAGGACTGTAGGAGAGCCATCTACTTCTTCAATCTTCAGGTTGCCCTTGCGTCGGCGAAGGGGAGATGGCGGGAGCAAGAAGCTGTCGTTGAAGCTTTCTGGAAGACGAGTAGTGAACGTCGGTCCGTTGCTGGCGCGTGCTTCATTGCCCAGTGAAGGGGACAAGATTGTAGAACTCGCATCTGAGAAGGCTGTTGAGTCTGGTCAGCAGTTTGAGCAGGACGCTAAGAAGCTTTCTAACGGGCACAGCCCTGCAGAGTTGGATGCGCAGGTGGATGACGCCTCCGATGCTGCCTCATTGGACAACAATGTTCGGGAGAAAGCTGTCGACGTTGCGTCTGACATGGCAGTGGACTCATCCGAAGATGTCGATGCTCTTGCAAAAAAAGACGCTGAACCTTTCGCTGCGGAATATGGTCGGAGTATTGAGGAGGCTGCGGAAGGGTTGGAAACTAAAGCTGCAGAAATCAGCGAGAGAGAAGCCAAGAAAGAGTCGGGGACCACTTTGGAATCTAGAGCTGACTCTGCTCCTTTCTTCAAAGACCAGGTGTGAAGTTATGCTCTGATTTTGAACCTTAAAATGTCCTGCTGCAGACTCCATCGTCTGAAGTTGGGATGTGTATGTTCCTAGTTTTCTTCACCGATTTTTTTGAATTTTACGAGAACATGGATGTTCGTAATCATCAGGTGATCAAGGAGAAGGTGTTGGACGTGGCGTCCTCCTCTGCGATAGATGAAGGGCCCGAAGTCCAAGAGACGGCCCAGAGGGATGCGTCAGACATGACCAACAAGGTTGGTGGAGATTTGAGGCGCAACAAGGTGACAATCGTAGGAATGGCCGACGCAGCTTCAAAGCTGGAGGGTGATAGGTCTGGCAGTGATAGGTCTGGGGTGACAAAAGAGGCGAAGGAGAAAACAAATGAGGTTCGCCAAAACATTGGTGGCCAGCTGGAAGGATTGTCAAGGACCATCTCTAAAAACCTGAAGGAAGGGATAGATTCGAGTCGGCCAACCATCGAGGAACTGTCCAGGAAAGCAGAGGAAGGTGTGAAGGCAGGGCGAGAGAATTTAGATTACGCGGCTGAGGGTGCGTCGGAGCTAAGTGGGGATGCGCGGGAGGCTTTAGATGGTGCGAAGGGAGTTCTTGACAAGAGACTCAAGGTGATCAACTTAGCTGCTGAAGAAGCACGCGAGACAGGGTCTATGGTTGCGGAGCTTGCGGCCAAGGGGTGGGATGCATTGACGAAGACAACCGAGAGGATTGTAGATAATTTCCAGAAAAACATCGGTGATGCCAAAGAAACGGCACAGGAGAAAACTCGTGAGGCTCAACAGAAGGCTCAAGAAACCGCAGAACAGGCTCAGAGGACGTTCGGTGAAGTGAAGGAGAATGTGGAAGCCAAGTCTGCCGAGCTCACGGAAACTGCTCAAGAGAAAGCGAAGCTGGCAAGACAGAAGGCAGAAGAATCCGTAAGCAACGCCCAGAGTAAATTTGATGAAGACAAGGGAGATGTGCAAACGAGGGCAACCGAGTTCAAGGACACGGCTCAGGAGAAGGCGAGTGAGGCAAGACAGAGGGCCGAAGAAACTGCCGACAAGGCTCAGGACAAAGCCAGCGAAGTCAAAGACAACGTGCAATCCAAGACGGGCGAGCTAAAAGTTGCAGCTCAGGAGAAATCTGAGGAGGCAGCACGAAGAGCCGAAGACACTACAGAGAGCGCGAAATCCAAGGCAGGTGAGCTGAAGGACACTGCCCAGGAGAAAGCCGGAGAGGCAAAACAAAGCGCCAAGGAAACGGCAGACCGAGCCCGGGACCAGTTCGACGAGACCAAGGACACGGTGCAATCCAAGACGGACGAGTTGAAGAACACGGCTCAGGAGAAGGCTTCGGAATCCAAGGCGAAACTAGAAGACACTGCAGTGGAGGCGAAAACCAAGACGGAGGAGCTGTCCGCATCGGCCAAGCAGAGAGCAGGCAATGCGCAACAGGACGTCGAGTCCAAAGCCGGACAAGCAAAGGACGCAGGCTCCTCGGTGGTGGATTCAGGGGAGAAGTCCATCTCCAATGTGGCGAACAAAATGAATGGCAACGGCAACCACGAATCATCAACAACAGCCACGGGAACTGCAGTTGGGAGTACTCCGGGCTGGGATTCTGTGCAGAAGACGGGCTCCACGAACGGCAACAATAGTGAATCTAAATCTCACGTCGAGTCCGCTGTTGGCAAAACTCCGGGCTCAGAAGCTTCTGCTCGATACGAGGACTCGGGCAAAGTAAACGACGAGTGGAAAGGGAAGTCGAATTGAAACCCTAAACCATGTGAATCTGTACACTAAGTGTGCGCTTAGCGATCTTCTTCTTCTTCGAAAAGTTTAGTCCCCTCGTTTGAGCGCCCCAGTTTCTAGAGGTTTTGGTATCAGAGAGATGAGTTGCTTGATGTAAGATTTTGGTGAAACTTTCGTGAATATAGTTTAAGCATTCTGTAATCGTGTATGGTGTGTGGACGATGTGTGTAGCATCTGGGGACAAAATTGTGTGTGGGTTGTTTACAATAGTTTGTGAAACCCTAAATTCTGATCTCAACCCTCCTCACTTGACAACCACTTCCAGTTTTTAAATGTCGTGTGTGTAGAAATATCCATCATTAATGTATAAAATCTACAACCAAAATCGAAATTTTGAAAAGAAAACTAGAGACAAATCATAGGAATGTAAGTAATTGATGTCAGTGGAGTGAGTAGGAACAAAAAAATGTGCTAAAAAAAAAATATATATATATATATATATATATATGTGTGTGCAGGTAATATTTATTAAAAATAGAATTAATATTTTATATAGGATACAATAGTTGTCATGTACACTATTTGTAACAAAACACAATTTTTACTAAGTTAAAAACATTTTTTTTGAAAAAAACTATTGCAGCAAGATAATTATACATGAATATCATATGTTCAAAATATAAAAATTATACCAACCATGATGGATTGCATATTGACACAACACTCTAATACCAAATATTTAATGTATACTCTTTTTCCTTATTCTATTTGTTTTTTGGCATAAATTTTTTTGTAAATTTTAATGCAGATTGAAGTCATTGACCACAATACCACTTATATCATATGTATCATTCTGTGATCCATCGTGGTTATTATAAAATAAAAAACATTGGTTGGAATGGAACAAAACTTTATCCACTACAATATGTGTATATTATGCTTTTAATATCAAAATTGGATACAAAATCTCAGACATTAAAAACAACTTTTTAGAATTCCAATATGGTCTTCAATTTTCACCTGCATAGTTGTGTGAGTATTGTTGAATATTGCATTTTGAAATCTTGTAAATTGGGAATGCTTATATGGTCCAACACTATTAGAAGAAATAATAAAGCATTATCCAGTAGAAAACATTTGTTGTTCTGTAAGAATTTTCAAGATTTAATCTTCAGTTTTTTTTGTTTACAAACATATGGTTATCATGTGCTGGTGTTGGAAAATCAACACATCCTTAAAATAAATTTTCCAACTTGATCACACATGATAATAGCAGTGATAGCTTAAATGTGCTTTTGCAATGATAATTCTTACAATGTTGGATTGAAATATTGGCCAATATATGTTCTACCCATAATTTAAACTATCCAAGAAAAGCCACTTATGTTTTTAATTTCACTTGCAATTTTGCATTGCTCTTTTATGATTGGCCATCTCATAAGTTGTTTTTTCTAATAATAAAATAGAAAGCATAATACAATTTTTTATTTTTTATCTTTTATTGTTCTTACACCAATTCTAAACACAACTGCAATGCAATATCAAGAGACAATATTTCTATGCCATTTAAATCTACATAATACTACAACCAATTGAATTTATTTTAGAGATGATTTAAGATTTTTATGGTTGCTTGATTAAATTGAATTCTTCTTAATATTTTCTAAAAGCTTATGAGAATTTTGAGGAGATATGAGTAAGCATTGTTGAAATTGTTCTTCAGACCATAAATATAACATTGATAATGGAAATGTAAGTTTTAGTAAACTTCTTCTTAATACAACATACTTAACTTCCAATATGAATAGATATAAATAATTAATATGTAGTCATTTTTGAAATTCAAAGAAGAATTGAAGATACTGATGTATTCTTATCAATCTTAAAATTCATCAAGACTTTTACTTCAACACAATAAGAATATTTTGATAGCAAACTTGGAATGCATCCCACACTAAATTTGCTATCAAAATATCAAAATATTCTTATTGTGTTGAAGTAAAAGTCTTCTTTCTTGGACATGCATAATTTGTAATATCAAGTTTTATGTTTCACTATAAAGTGAAGAATATTAATAACTAAGAATGTAGACTTATATAGACTATATAAAAAATAAACTCTACAATAGGTTAATTTCAACTATGTAATGTACAATCAAGCAATGTACACACAACCAACCACTTATAGAATGTATTTTTTAATATAAATAAGGTCTAAATTTAAAGTCTAAGGTGTATTGGAAAGTATTAATTTAGACTTTAAATTCTCATTATTAATAATTTACAAAGGCTTTTGTCCAATAAAGACACATTATAAATATTTTATAATATATGAATAATTACTATAAAGACTTCATTTCTTTTTAATTTGTCATTTGTTATAGTGAGCATTCTTGTTGTTGAGTCAGAGCATGAATATTAAATAAATAAATAAATAAATAAATAAATAAAAAGATCAAGAAAAACAAATAAACACATCTATAGTCAATTTTGTTACAATGTTGTTTTTCCACCACCACACCAAAGAATAATATTTATCTAGCAAAGAAATTCATTATTGCTACTATATAAGATATTTATTTAACAAGAATATACATCAATATTTCCAAGTTGACAAAATTAATATAAGAAATCAATTATTTTATTTTATTTTATTTTATAATAACTATATTTAAAATTAATCAATAACCATCAAAGAATTGTCACTTCAAGTTCCACAAATGTGATGACAAGATGTTTACCTAATAAAGTAGCATCTAGCTCTATAAGAAGATATTAGCACCAACTATAGTTTTACAAGATAATACTTGTATAAATTGCAATAATTATGCATTTGAATTTATATTCTTTTATGTCCTAAAAAACATAAATTAAATATACTCAATAAAAAAAACCTTGTTTTAAATATAATTATGTCAATCCTATTCCATCTCTATCTCTTTTTATTTTCTTTTATTTCTACTTACACCCCTAATAACACCTTCTACTTGACCTATTATCACGGACATACATATTTACTCCAATAATTAGTTATATGATTAAGTAGAAGTAGGTAAAAGTAGATTAATTTCATAATATTTTTTAGAAAAGTTTTTTGGAAGCTGTATAGATGCTACTTTGACTTTACACGTGTTTGTAGTTAATTCGTAGGCTAAAAACTTGGTTAACAAGTTAACCATGTGACACACGTGTTAGTAGCTTGTAGAACAAGTTAACTATGTGGCTCACATATAAATAACTTGTCTTGTAAGTTAAGTCATGTGTCTAGCAAAGTCAACACACATTTAAGGTCCTATAGAATATCACCATGTAGCTCTTAGTTAAAAGAATATATATGGAGGTAAGAGTGAAGCCTTCTTCACTATTGTCAATGCATTTTTAGTCCTTAGAATTGAAATGGACTCCACATAGTCTTACCAACTTGTTAAATTTTCCAAATCACTTCCATTCCAAGTAGCAGACACATCTTTCAATGAATTCAACTATGGAGCTCTTTTATTATGGGACATTCTGTACATTCCCCTAATTCCAGAGTCAGTAGGCATTTCTGACTCGTGGGAATGAATGTCCAGGTCGCAGGATTCATCCATCCACAATATCATTCATCAATGAAGATGATTATCATTCATCCTCGCAATGTCCGTCTGCATCGTCGAGGCCCCGAAAACCCGAACACGGTGTTGAGCGAGGAGGGAGTTTCTCACAATTGCAATTGCAAGGTTACGATGTAATGGAGTGAGTGAGTGAGTGAAGCAGGGAGTTATGGCCCTTTCTTCGGCGGTCATTGTGTCGTTGCGAATTTCTCCTTCTGTGTGCTGCTCTGCAGCGGAACCCAACAATCATGCAGCCATTTCCAGCGACTGTTCTGTGAAGCTGGCGCAGCCGCAGCCTGTGTCGCGAGTGCAGCATTTGTCGCTACTAAATCGAGAGAACTCATCTTGTTCTGCGCCGATCATGTCAATGCTTCACCCCGGGATGGAGTTTGTCAATGTTATGTACTTCAAGGGTAGCTACAACGCACAGGTTCGCGCTTCTGAGTCCCTGGGTAGTGATCTGTTAGGGGAACTTGCGAGGTTGCGATGATCCGTGGGCGATGGGATTCTCGGTGTGTTGCCAACGTTAGAGGACAAAGTGTTTGTTTTTTAGTTTTGTTTTTAGCGAACGGACATTTTTATTTTTTTATTTGTTATAGATTTTGGTGCGTTGTTGGTTCAGATTTTCGTCGGAGAAGATGAGTCAGCCGATTCAGTGGTGAGGAGATTCAGAAGAGCTGTCTCGGCAGCCGGAGTGATTCCTGAATGTAGGCGCAGAAGGTTCCACGAGACCCCGCAGGATATTGTGAAACGCAAGCAGAAGGAGGCTCATCGCAGGAATAAAAGGTACTGCGCTTGTCTGCAATATATAACCCCATAACCTAGCTTGGCTCCCACTCTGTCTTCGTGGTGCAGTAGATATCTTGGCACTCATCACGTTGTATGGTGGAGTTTCTGCAACTTATACTAGCCTTGTCAATGGAGAAGTGCACCTTGATCACGACCGGTGGGATATTCCAAGGACTCTACTTCCTTGAATTTCATGATCCTCTAGTAGGCACGGAAATTGCCTTCCTTCGCTGGCAGAGTTCACAATTTGAATGTGGAAGTGAATTGCCTGAAAGACCTGGAGAATGGTGTCAACTGTGTGAATCATTTCGTGTCTTGAAATTTTCGCTGCCTGCTTACATTTTGCATGTGTAATTCATCATACATACATCTTGATATCGCACGGTATAAAGTTCATATGGAAATATTTGAAAACTATGCTGCTATCGACAAATATTTTTCTTTGATTGAATTAATTGTTGCTTTCGATTTTTAAATTAGGGTTAGTTTCCTAGTTCTGCACGTATTTAATAATTCCATATTTCAATTATGGTAGCTCTTTTCCAGTAAGATTGATTGAATAAGAATTTTATTTGCACAGCAACCGAAGGTTTTCTGGACCACGGCCCGAGGGTGGATATGGTGAAAAGAAGGAAACCAGTAGTGCAGAGGAGGAAGATGACGACTTCTGGGGGTATGTCGACGAGGATGCCTAATTTTTGGAAGTTATTTTAACCTCGATCTTATTGTGGAGCATTTTGGAGTTCTTTTGAGTCCATCTTACTTTCTAGTGTTACAAAAAAATTACACGACTCCTAAACCAATTAGAAAAGTAGAACCTGAAGTCATTGAACTTCAAAACATTTTTAGAGCAGGATATACACTTCCGTGATACTGAGTAGGTTTAAAGCATCAAACTGGTATTGAATGTCAAGTAAGAACCATGCATGTTTCAAAAGTTTTGATGAGCTGAATGTAAACTACCGAGGACTTACGTTTGTGGCCTTTGCTTCAAGCACTTAAAAGTGGTAAAGCTTCTCAACTTGTAGTAGACATGCTTTTAACCAGCTCCTTTTGCGGATACAACATGAGGATTAGTTTGATACATTTTACAATGAGGTTTTAAAGCTTTTGTGCTTGAAGTTTTGTTCATTGTTTGAAAAGAAAAAAGATGCTGACTTACTGTGAAGAAAAAGTTTTGATGATTGATTTGGTTTTATTAATGTTGGTGATAATGTTATTATTGTTATTATTATTATTATTTTATAAATAATGGTTGGCATTATAGCAAATTAATTTTTAGTAAACACATTGTTATATTGTAAATATGTAAGTGTCACTACCATTAATGACCCATAGATTAATAAATTACGATTTTTCAACAATCAAAGATAGTATTTTTATTGCTAAAAATACAAGTTTTAAATTAAATTGTTTTTCATTTACCTATTTATTCTATCTAGTTCTTTTCTAGTGATAAATAGTGTACGTAAAAGATTTATCTAGATTAAAATAAAATAAAGAATGTAACAAGAGTGCATGCTGACAAATCTTAGCCCATACAATCTGTAATTTGCAACTTCGCATAGCTAATGCAACATCTCTGCATTGTCAGATTTCCCAATAGCTTCACGTTACACTGAGAAACTAAGACAGCAGTGAAAATCTCCACCAATTATGTGGACCAAAGTAATCTAATTCTGCAGTGAACAAATTGAAGATCTAGTGTTTAAATTCAGAAAGGCTTGCTTTCAGCATGTTTCTAAGGTAGAGACTGTGATTTGAATTGAATCTGGTGAGGAAGAAGCCGTTGTTGATGGAATTCGATGGAAGCATGCTAGAAATTCAATATTCCCCTCAGCACCTGTTATTGGTGACTGAATCCAGCCTTGGCATTCAAAGCCGAAGCCTTCCACACCACTGATCACTCGTTGCAAGACCTAGTCAATCATACCAATGTCAACAAACTTCTGATCTAGTGTTCAAGAATAACAGGATGTCGGTCACTTGACAAACATAAAACAAAAAAGCAAACATGATACAAAATCTGATGGGTGGTTCTCACCCAAACAGATACCAAAACAGTTCATGCACCAACTGTGTTCAGTCAAGTACATGGGCTGGTTCAACGAACCTCTTTGTGAACAGCAGGGTCCCTCACAATGCCACCTCCCCCAACCTGAGCAGTCGACGCAATTAAGGTTAGAATATCAAATCTGGGCCAGAAGATGGTCGTTCAGGCTCAATGAGACACTCTATTCATTCAGTGAACACGAAACACCATAGGTCAGTTACACAAAGCACATGAATCATGCGTAAGGCTAATACCAAGAAGTGCACAACCACAGATAAAAACCTGAGAACGTCGGGCCTCGAATTGCGGCTTGATGAGGGTTATGATCGATGATTCAGGCTTCATAACAGAGCAAACTGTTGGCATCACCTGCATCACCATAAAAGGAACCTCCAGTGATGAACAACTGACGAGCTGATTTCCTCGTATTTCCTAGCGATTCCAACTGTGCGTAAATCTCCCACATGAACAGCCAAAAACAAAGAGACTATTGCAAGTAGCATAGTGCAAACAAACGGAGCACAAATCAATGAGTGTGCTTAATATGGCGGTCTGAGTGAATGATAAGTTGTACCAGTAAGATTGAGATGAAGGAAAGGTCAAGAGTGACCAAGTCAACTTGTTCAGGGAGACCTGGTAGGTAACGTAGATTGGTTCTCTCCATGATAGTGACACGTTGGTCAACACGAATTTTTTCGGCAACCTGATTACAAATCAATCAATGTGGTTTACATGAATGGATCGAAACAACAAATCTTGATTTCAACACGGAGATCCATTTCTAGAGGAAGAAACTTTGTGGGGCTCCACTTGAAAAGTTAGCGCTTCTTACACTAATTGAAAGTGAGAAAAACACAGTTTGAACTGGAACCCCCTTTAAGGCACATGAAACATATACTGTTGTCCTCCATCTCACAGTTTACGCCCGTCACTCAAGCTCGTACTTGCAAAGAAAGTCAGCCACCACAGATGTATGCAACAATCGTTTACCTGGCCGTAACCAACGTCCACACCATATATTCGGGCAGCTCCATTCTGTAATAGGCAATCTGAAAAGCCACCTGTTGAAAGTCCCGCATCCAGAACTACCTTGCCATTCACATCATGACAAAACTTCTCCAAAGCAGCTTCCAGTTTGTATCCTGCTCTGAAGACATAAACAATGTAATTAACTTATGTAACCACATAAGAAATGATAGCTAAACTAAATAAATAAAAAATCAGTAGCATCAGAATGCGGGAAAAACCCTAGTTTCAAGCACAGAAAAAACTACGAAATGATCATACAAATAATGAACTCAGCCCACATGAACACTGAACTTATGCCGTTTTGGAAAGTAAAAGAATAACCCATTTTTTGAATTGGTGTTAAAGAAATGAACTAAATTCCTACTGATAAGTGTCCAGCCTCATGAAAACGTCACACTTTAGGAATCCTCGTAGATCTGCACTAAAATTATCCCACCATCATCGTCAAGAACACACATGACAAGGCATGTGAGAGAAACAATGTGTTACCTGCACACGTATTTTGGAACTTCTGCTATGATATCAATCTTGGATGTAGGCTTGACAGAGCTCCCCGCCTTCGCAGCAGGCCTACCATCTACGATTACTTTACCTACTCTTCAAAAATGCACCATATCAACCACAGGCCCTTGCCAGTCTATTTCATGGAAAAGCTCGATGACTGCACCATCATTTAGAAGCTGCTTTATCGAAAATTTGATCAAATGAAATTCTTCAGCCCTCTTCATTTAGGAATGTGAAATCCTCGCCATACATGCCAATGGCATTGAAAACTTACCTTGTAAAATCCACGACTGGATCAATGATCGGCTATATTGGGGAAACTGCTCCATGCACAATTCGTCTAGTCTCATTTTCCTCTTCATCAACCTGCAAAATACGCTTCCGCAATCGTGAACAAACCAGAGCCCAAAACCCCTCATCCTTAAACAGGTTGAGTGAAGAAGTTTGACAGTTTTAACAGAGAAAATATCAGTCTAGAGTACCTCTGTTTCGCCAGGCTACCAGCAGTTTCATGTACACTACTACTCAGCTCCTGGCATCGTACCCACATAATCCGTCCACACGGTCTCGCAGTTTCTGCACAAGTTTCTCCAATCTGAGCACGAAATCATGTAGAATTTTATAAAATAAGTATTGATAGTATCGTGTGCCCTATTACAACTATTAGTGCCTCAAGGTACCGTGAAAAACCCTAAGAGGATGCAGTGAACACACATGACGTGTATGTGTGGGCTGTAATCCAAAATATGCCACTGAAGCCCATGTTGCTCTCTAGAATTAGCCATACGCTGCAAGACACAAATCCAAGCCCATTGAAAACATAACAGGCTAGCCCGTTTCCTCCTGACGACTGCGGCGCAAATCATGTCACAAAATAATTTCGAAATTGACAAATTTTAAAAACCAAATGTTGTTGCCGGCAACTGCTGAAAAGAAAATTCTTTGAAATTTTGATGATCTGTAAGTTTTAATGCAGTAGAAGAAATCATACACAATGCGACAGCTCAGAAAAAATTAGGTAGCTCCTAACACTGAGTTTAAAACCCCGGCCTCTATTAACCTTCCTTTTCAAATATATATTTTTTTCTATATAAAAACAGTAAAAAATACCTCCAAAACCCAAAAGCTAGAATGATGCAACAAGACATTTAGTTAACAATATTCAGCGAACCCGAATTCAGCACGAACCAGTATGAGGCGTCCATAAACCCAGGCTGGACAGACGGACAGGGGATTGACCACAAGAACTGCTCCACGAGATTCCATGAGAGGGCAGCATCGCTAGAATCCCTTGTTTCATCCCCCTGACCCCCAACATGCTTGAGATTCGAAGGCTCATCACATTGCGAGGTATCGCGACTTCATTACGGAATCGTCTCTAGCAAGGCTTAAAACTGCCCTCCTCCTCACACCCAGTAGTTCTCACCACCCCAACTGCCCAAGTGCCAACAAAATGCTACGAGGAACTACAAAGCGCAGATGCGCAACACCCAGCGACAATGAAACGCTGAAGCAAATTGCGGGTGTGGATGCTCCGCGGTTGCGAGGCTCTGGTCGAAGAACTGCTCCTCCTCCTCGAAAACGCAATCCTCTCATTGGAAAGAGTTGTCTGGTGTGAAAAGAGACTCCCCTTTCAGGCTTCTTATTAGCCCTCCAAGTCACGTCGGTGTGAAAAGATAAACCTGTTTTTAGGGTTTCAATATAAACCTGTTTCGTGCCCTTAGGATTTCTGATCTTGCCATTTAATATAATTGGTCATGTGAAGCATACAAACAGAGCAGTTTTGAATGTTGTTAGATCCTGCAATTTCAGTGTGATCCTGGACGACACTAAAAAATTTACAGTGTTGCATTCAATGGCTTGCAGGTTCTCCAATCGCTACTAGCAATGGGCATGGAGATGATGGCTGCAAAATCAGCCATTAAAGTGCACATATGTGTCCTGTGTGGGACAAAAAACATAGATTGATTATAACAATTGTGTGGAGACATTTGTGCTTACTAGCAAAGTTAGTTAACCAGAAAAAACATTCATATAGATTTACAGATGAAATCAGTCACTTTGTTCAATGGCAGCATCTTGTTATGCTTTCTTCCAATGAAGTTATTCAATCCTTTCCATCTCCTTCAAGGCCCATGAACATGGTACAATCCCACTTACACCACTCCATCACCACTACATTGGCTTGAAGTTAAACTTGCAAGTTGAAGCATACAGTCCTGATATTGTTAGTTATTTTAGAGGAAACATTGTATCATGATTTCATAACTTTGTTCAGCTCAGTTACTTGCACTAAACTTGCTGACTCCTCTGAGGATACTAAAGTCATGTTATTATGGACCTTGTGGAACGAAGAGGAAACCTGTTCAAATTAGAATTGTTTAAGTTGGTGCAATTAAGCATATTCCCCTTGATTTGGGTGGAGATAGTCCACTTAAAAGTCATGACTGCGTGATAAGACCCCTTGGTATCTTCCATTGAGAACAGTTCAATAAGCAACTAATTTCTCTGACTTCACAATATCAGGTTGAACAAAGACTTCCAAACCAGTCTTCGGACGCTCTTGAGATTACTGAATTATCCCGCTCTAAACTTGTTTTCTTTCATCTTCTACAGCATTTGAGTATTGGAAGACGTGCTTGAGCTAATCTGACTTTATAGCATTGTTCTTAGTTGTAGATGGGAGCTTCAGCTGCGAACAGAGACTTGGATCTTCTGATGTGTTGTGTAATGCAGGGTTTTTCACTGGGTGAAGAACTATTGGATTTGAGTGCTTTATTACTATTGTATGATGGTAAGAATGATGTTTATTACTACTTGAAATTCTAGAAATTGTAACATTTTATACAAGAGTATCAATTCTGAGAATTGAGAAATGAAAAGTATGTGAATTTTTTAGAACGTGTTATGTTTGTTGATTTTAAGGTTATAGTAAAGATTTTCATGCTTGAATGAATATGGCCCAAAATATGTGCAAGTGTGTAAAAAGATGTTTTTTCTTTGTAAGATTGTAAGAGTTTTCATTTATTATTTTGTAAAAATAAGAAGCAAGGATACTAAAGTATCTATAAGAAGAAATGATTGAAAAACCAAAGTGCTCAAAATCTGTAATAATGTGCTTTAGCATAAGTCATATAAATAATATTTAATGATAATTGTTACTTATGTTTGATTGATAGATACCATTAACATTAAGCTCCCAATTATGTTTATATATTTTTAAATAATTTTTATTTTACTTTAAATACCCAATTGAAAATATAAATAAACTTAGTACCAAGACCTTTGACTTCCACTACACATTCACAACTTGTGAACAACTATTGACCATTATCTTTTAAAAAGTAGATGTCATTTATTTTTCTTTAACCACTTGCACATATTGCCATCAACCCAAGTCATTGTAATTCTTTTTAATCTTTAACCTTAAAATCTTGGCTAATGTAGGCTACAACATAGACACGAACATATTTTTATCTACAATTAATTTTTTGATTACCTACTATCTACATATTTTTATTTTATCAAAAAAAAGAAAGATTCTGCGGCCATAAAACAGGTTATAATTTTGGATAAACTTCTGCTAACCCAACCAAGACCAAAATTCAAATAATAAAATTAATATTATTATTTTGTAAACTCCGCCCCTTCCTCTGTAGCACGTTTCTGACCGTCCGGACGTGAATTTCACGTCCTTGAATCTACGCTGTCCGATCTGCATGGCATGGGCTTCGCAAGAAAACAAAGAAAGGCACGCTGACCTATCTCGCATATCGTCGCAAACTTGCGATTGTTTGCTGCGCCGGGTGGTAGAATTGTGATTCGGAGACGTGGGTTTGAATGTCTGAAGACGAGTCATGCACTTGCGGCTGGAAAGAAAACGCGTCCGATTTGATTACAGCTTCAATGATCTGAACGAACTGGTTTTTGCGCTGGTTCATGGAGTGGGATTGGTCGTGGTTCCATCTGCTGCATGCATCAGGGTTTTGGTTGTGGCTCTGGGATCTGTTGCTGCCAAGTCTCGGGATTGTAACCACTTGACCGCATAATTTCTTTCCGGTGAGGAGTTAGTGGGTCGCCATTCATTGCATATGCGCTGCAAAAGTTGTGCTCTCGTTGACAGCAAATTCTTACTGTGCAGAATGTTCACAATGAGTCTCAAGATATGCCTTTCGAAGCTGGTCTACTCATTTTTAGAGGAAATCAGTGAAGTCGCAACGATCGCACGGACTATGGTTTGATTGCTCACGTATTCAGAAGCAGTCATGTTTTACCAAGATTGGCTAGCGGGAAGTGTGAGTGATATCCGATTGTGGCTGAGAAACGGCATGCTGACTACAGTTTTGGCTACTCTTTTCGTGATTTTGACGTCTCTGCCGGAGTGTATGATGCTGCCTGCATCACATGTCGGGAACTGGACTGCGAGTCCAAGGGTTACCGTGACGGATAAGGAGGGCGATGCCTCATCCACAGAACAACCTCACCGCACCGGTTTTCATTTTCAGCCTGAGAAAAACTGGATGAATGGTATGAGAGTCTCACCCAATGTGTGTGCGTAACTCGCTGACTTCTTCATTCTAAATGTTCATGATGAACTCGCAAGTCTTTTGTGATGATGTGGATTTCGGTGTTGGACAGTCGGGCAATGTTGTGAACTCTGCTTCCAGGGCACCGTAGGCAGAGCACTTTTCAGAGTTTTGAGGGGCATTTCATGAAATTGACATGTCAACAAACTGAGCTCAATCCCTTTATTTGCAGTATTATTGTCTACGATTGGTTTTTCATCTAACTCAGGATGATTGGTTGGAATCGTGGCCATGGCTTGGAAAAACGTTACGCATGGCTTAATACACACTATACAGATCCTAACGGTGAGTACATACTCTCTGTACACCCCTATCAGTAGTCTTCTATCTACACACGTTGAATAATAATAATAATAAGAAGAAGAATCCAACCAAGAAGATTAAAATAACTTCTCGTTAGAATCCTTCACGTTATCTTCAATTTTATAACCGTTCAACTCATAGCTCATTGGTTATAGGCTGTAAGCTCAAAAACCATGAATGAGTCTAGGTTTCGGCATCTATTCCCAAATGTAATAATGCTATCATATAGTCCATTCTTCAGCAAGAGGTTCGTCAGTTTATCACTTGCGTGGCTATCTCATTTATATGTTGCAGGGTTAATGTACTACAAGGGGTACTACCACCTCTTCTATCAATACAACCCAGAGGCGCCGATCTGGGGCAACATTGTGTGGGGGCACGCTGTGTCAACAGACCTCTTGCGCTGGCACTACTTGGAGCCAGCCATGAAAGGAGACCACTGGTACGATGAACGGGGGGTGTGGTCTGGGTCAGCAACTCTCTTGGAAGATGGCTCTCCCGTGTTATTGTATACCGGGGAGTCTGTTAACAGGACACAAGTGCAAAACATGGCCATTCCTGCCAACAAGTCGGATCCGTTACTGCTCCACTGGATCAAGGTCAGAAGTGACCTTCAGATTCCAAGGACCATTTTTTTACGTAAACATTCTGATTTCTTTATAATTGAACCTCTGTCAAAGACTGCGGTGGATGACGAGATAAGCGTCCACAACATACTTGCTATGCAGTTCATGTATAAACAAGGTAGGGAGTTTTTTGCAATAATCAGAAATATGATGATCTTCTCGTTTGTGACCGCAAGGTTCCACACAATCCAGTTGTGGTCGCTCCACCCGGATACAATGCTAGTGAATTCCGAGACCCAAGCACAGCATGGCAAGGCTCGGATGGAATGTGGCGCCTGCTTGTAGGAGCCAACACAGGCAAACGAGGCGTAATTGGAACTGCACTTCTATTCAAAAGCCAAGACTTTTATCAGTGGCAATTTGTAAACCGTCCACTTCATTCAGTGGCTGGCACAGGGATGTGGGAGTGTCCCGATTTTTATCCTGTGCTCATTGAGGGAATAGAGGGCTTGGAGGTCTCCTCCACTCAGGGGCAACCCGTAAAACATGTCCTTAAAATTAGTTCGGATGACCTCAAGCACGACTACTACTCTGTAGGTGCATACAATGCTGAGAATGACACCTACGAACCGGCCATTCATCAGTTGGACACTGGGATTGGCCTACGGTATGATTATGGGAAGTTTTATGCTTCCAAGTCCTTTTTTGATCCCAGTACGAATCGAAGGATCTTGTTAGGGTGGTCCAACGAGTCTGATAGCATTCAGGAAGACATCACCAAGGGATGGTCTTCCATTCAGGTACCTAATTGACTCCCTTGAACTCTAGATTCTAGGCTCATAATAATGTGCTGCAGGAAGCCATCTCTGATATTATGCTACCTGTTTCCTGGAGTTGCAGTCGATTCCAAGGAAAGTATGGCTGGACAGCATCAGTAGTACAAATCTTCTTCAGTGGCCGGTCCGTGAGGTGGAGAGCCTTCGGCAGAACCAGCTCGTCAAGGAAAGTGTTAACCTTCCTCCTGGATCCGTCTATCACCTTTCAGAAGTCATGGGATCGCAGGTTTGTCCTCAACTACTGACAAAACCCAAACTCAACAGTAGTGGCACATATTATCTTATAAGGATGCGTTGTTTGGCAAAGAGAGCAGGACATGGCCATGATAATTCACGATTCATTTCACTGAATACTCTAAACCATACTTTTGAAATTCACGAGTTATTTCGTGGACTTCATTTGACTGTTCATTTCATTTCTTTATGCAGCTTGATATCGAGGTGCAATTCCTCAAACCAAACCTGACTCAAGAACCCATACCTCCAGAGCTACTTGCCCAGAATGCGGCTTGCAGCACTTCAGGAGCTGCTAAGAGAGGGATTTTTGGACCTTTTGGCATTCTGGTGCTGACAACTCCCAACCTCGAGGAGCAAACAGCAGTGTTCTTCTCCTTCGTCCACTCTAGAAGGAATGGCTGGAAGACCATCGTTTGCAGCGACCAAAGTAGGTGCGTAAATCAATCTTTTCTGGTTACAACTGAGATCACTCACAGCAACGTGGAACTGAAACTGCTGGGTATGTCTTTAGGTCGTCAATGGACAATGACGTGGACATAACAAGCTACGGGAGCTTTTTGCGTGTTTATGACAACGAATTCACCCTCGCCCTCCGAATTTTGGTATGATCTTTGTCACAGTCACAGGCCCACTTTCACAGTCTTTGTAAATATTGGTTAATTGCTGAGAACCGAGTTCTTTGCTTGCGTGAGCTAGTTATTTGACTGGGTATTCGTAGAGGATCACTCTTTCATCGAACATTGTCACTGTAACAGGTAGATCACTCTGTAGTGGAGACTTTTGCACAAGGTGGAAGAACCGTCATCACCTCTAGAGTTTATCCACAACGTGCAGTGAACGATTTTGCCACCATCCACCTCTTCAACAACAGCACAAGGCTACACGTGATGACCCAGAGCATTTCGGTTTGGAACATGGAGTCTGTGCAACTGAGCAATTTTAACACAGCAACACAAAGACACTAACGACCATTTCAGCTGCTCGTACTTAAGGCTCCAGTAATCATAAACTGACGGCTAACTACAACTACATTTAATTCTTCATCTTATGGGTTCCGCATGTAAAATACATGAAAAAAACCTTCGAAGTTGTAATGTTGTCCATTCCTTCGCTGAATCAGCAATGTTTCTTATCCCACTGATTATTGATGATTATTTACAACATGATCTCATTGCTAGATGGATAAATCCGCTGAAAAATATCTTGTTTTCGTAGCTGCCAAAGGTGTGCCAGCCATAAATGTGAAGAGACCCAGTTCATTTAAGACGACGAAGAATTCGATGGGCTTTGAACATTGAATCAACAGTTTAACTTGGTGATCAGCTTAATTATGATGTATCAAGTTATACGTGGTAGTTAGCCTGGCATAATATCAATTCAAACTAATCTAGTGCCGCACACACACTTGTAGTCTCCATTCTAATTGCAGTACCAGTAATAATAATGAAGTGAACATGGATGTGCACTTGGTCTGTGGTTTGAATAGCTTTGGACTTTACCTTCGTGCCTTTCACTTCTTCATTCCTTACAAAGTATGCAATTTTCGTTAAAAAAAAATAAAATTTGGCTTCAAGTTTTGGTGTCTTTTTCGTGTGAATGCAGCAGTTGGGTTGTATTATAGTCTTTACATATTATGCTCAAATTTCTTTGTACATGTTTTTGCTGCATTAGAATTTATTTATTTTTATTAAAAATGGATATCTTCTGGTTATTATATTTATATATGTTTCAATTTAGAAGTTTGAGTTAGATTTCAAAGAATTTAAAATTAAAATCATAACTAAAGCATAAGATGATGTAATAATCAGTGATCAAATCAGTTGACCTCTGACCTGACAAAATCATACAAAATACAACATCTTAATTGATTTGTGCATGACAATATCACATCAGTTCAAGTTTATAGCTACCACGTAAATTGAGTTTATTTCTCTTCAATGACACAAAAATCAAAATGATTGTTAAAATGTATCATTCTTAATATAAATTTTTACAATAATTCTGATAATTACATTACTCTAATCAACTTTAAGGTAAACCTAAGTTATTCAGCAATACACAAATCCACAAATTATCTCATGTGCAACACAACCCTTCTAATTTAAACATGTAAAATTATATTTGGCCCATCAGGAACTCTAAACAGAGTATTTAGAGGTCTTTGAGCTTACAGCCCATAACCAATGAACTCTAAATATACCATTAAGGCCAGATTAGTTATTTGACAGTGCTAAACTTTCATCCAACATAATTTACTTATAATTATTTATATATAAATATATAAATATATATTATTAATAACCCTGAAAATCTTTTTGGGAGAGCGATTATCTGCACAAAAATAAACATATAAAACTCATTCATAGTTATATTTAGAATAAAAGGTATCAAAAACTTTAAGTTAAAGGTGTTTTTTTTCTCTACTTTCAAAATTCTTTAAGGACACCTGTACAATAAAATGTACGTAAACCTTGTGTAATTATAAATATATATTTTTCACTTACGTGTACATATATTTATAAAATCGTATGTTGGATTTTAAATCGTTTATTTTTATTTATTTATTCATAATATTTTAAGAGGTAATTTGATCCATCTATTTTACTTTTGACAATCATAATTAAAAGTTTAACCCATGTATTTCACATTCTTTAACAATATTAATTTTTGGGTTATCAGTGAATTTCAGTTCCATTGGCATTAGAACTGAATGCCAATAGTAAATCCTTATTGCATATACTCTACATCAATAAAGAAGTGGAAACTTTGAAAAGCCTCGATCGAATACTAATTAATTACTGTGTGGTTTGTTTGAATAATCAATGTTATAATTTTCTGGTTAATGCTTGGTATTCCACAAAAATGATTCAATCTCCAACTATGAAAATATAGTACATAGTAGAATTTGAATTACTAGCATCATTGAAGCTATCCATGCATTATTATATTTTTATTATTCCAAAACCACTATTTTAAATATTTATTTTAAAAAATATTATTTTATATTTTTAAATCTACTTATTCAATTATTGATTGATTTATTTATTCTAAGCATATATATATATATATATATATGCAAATTCTATGAAAAATAACTATAAATACGACAACAAACAATGTTTTATACATAAATTTAGTCTTTATTAAAAACCATATATATATTTAAGTACATATTTTTAAATAATTTTTTCGTTTGTTTTGTGTCATTGATAAAAAAATTAAAATAAAAACTAACTAAGATCAAAGTTTTTTACTACTCTTTTACATTGAGATTATTATTAAACATAAAAAATATTGAATTCAAAACATTAAGATATAAATGATGCAAGTAAAATATGTTAGGAGATATTTATGTAAAGTTTAAAAAGCCATAGTTTAAAAGCATTATTATGATTCTTTGCTCAGTGAAGAATAATTCTATATTTAAAAGCTTTGATTTGTGTAGACAATACAAAATAAGAAGTGGCCATAAAATGGATCAAACCATTATTTTATTACAAATTTGAATATGCCAATCTATGTTTTAAATCTAAAAATTATACAAAATATAACAAAGAAAAATCACACTTTTTAATTATTATTTAAACAACTACTAACATATTTTCTTGAATATTTTAAAAATCCACCTCTTAAGACACACTCAACAAAACTATACGAGACAATACTATGTATACCATGCTAAAAATAAAATACATTCCACCTCATCTTTTTTTCTTAAGGATCTTTTTCTTAAGGATTTTGATTTTTCTAAATATAAAGCCAACAAGGTAAGACCTCTCAATTTCAATCAATAAACAATAAACAAAATAATGTCCTTTTACCCTCTTTCTAAAATATAAAGATCTCTCTCATATATATATATAAATGTTAAAATGACCCACCTATTTACTGAATCAACCCACCCTATTGTAACTATCATTAGAAAAAGAAATCATCTCTACAAATCATCGTTACAATCATGGTCCCCATTCCAATCCCTCTCATTTCTAGCCCTTGCTTCCTACATTCCTAACCTTCTTGTTTCCCACAATAGTGTGGATTGATTTAGTAAATGGGTGAGTCATTTTAACATTTCTCTCTCTCTCTCTATATATATATATATATACACACTAATTATAGAAATAAGCTTTAGTGAATGAAATCTATTCATCCATGCAAAACAACAACATAGTGTATTGGAAGTATACTAACAAGCAACGAGTCACAGAAACATCAAACAAAGTGTATGAGAATAATGAGTTGAGAAAGGTGCCGACGACACGCCATTTCCACCGACTAGGCACCGTCGGACACTCTCACGTCTATAGATACATATATCGTGTACTTACTTGGACTGAAGCTCCTCCTCGCCTTCACACTTCGTCTTCTTCACACCATAATTTGAGTCGGAAGCCACGGAGCAGCGAGCGACAGTTGGTAAATACCTTGTGCGTGGTGCTCCCGCAGCCTTCGCAAAGGTGAGGCCTCCGTGACAACGACCCAGATTGATGCCATACACACAGGTGTGATTAGATCCAATTCTGCACTGCTGAATCTGGATTTGTTGTCCACTAGTATCAAGAGATCACTGCAGTGCTTGCGGAGCAGTAAGGACTGGTCAGGTAGGTCAGTGGAATAGTCAAGAATCCTTCTGCGCGTAGATTTTATATTGCATGACTCTGCCAGGTGCAGAGAATGCAGATTTGTGAGTGAGCAGGGGATGAGAAGAAAGGAAGCCTCAATTCGGGCGTGAGGCGTTGTTTTTCACCATGCCATGCACCGCAGGCTTCATTTGTTCCCTGGTAAGAGAGATCGGTAGCGAGCGAGAGAGAGGCATTGCATTGCCTCGCAGGCTTCATTTGTTCCTTTGAAGAAGGCTGCTATAAGGGAGGGAAGGGGCACGGTACGCATTCTGACAAAGCGCCGTCCCTGCCAGGCGAGGTTCGTGCCGTCGCAGGCTTAGGCACATGAAGGACAAAGCGCGGGAGAATCGCTGCGGAACGAGGCGGGAATTCGACCATCCCAGGTCCCATCCGGATGATGAGTGGCGGATCAAGACCTCATTAGAGTGGAAACAAAGAAAATACAATTACTATGTATGCACATACATACGTACGTACAGGACCTGACATAGGAAACATGGGAACCTATGGGAATGTGGAAGGGGGAGGGCGGGGACGGGAGAGGGGAGAGAAAGAATGGAGTGGAGAGAAGAGTGTGAACAAGGACGACAGAGGCGTTGGTGTCTCCCCTTTCCCTGCTGTAGTTGTCGCCTTCAGCCCCCTTTGAGCTCCATCCACCCTTTGCTTCTCGCAACTCCCCTGTGCGTGCTCTATCCTCCTGGGGTCTTCCTAACTTTGTTACTCCCCTCTATTGGATTTTGAGATGGAATCCTTTTCCTAACTTGTCTTTGTTTCATCGAGTCGTGCTGTGATGAAGTGTATTGCCTTTATTTGCAGTTCATGTTTCTCGAGGCGGTGAAGTTATTTATGCGCAGCAGCGCTTCGATTTCGGCATATTTCTACTCGATGTTCCACGATTGTAAAACTGTATGGGAATTTAGTTATTCCCCTGGGTCGAAGCTTAGCTGTGGCGCGATCGAGAATTTAGTTTCTGATACGCTGTGGTGAAATGGGGCTCCTGGACATGAGCGATTGAGGTAGTACTTCTATGTACTGGATAGTATTGTTCTCGCGTTTTGGTGCACTTGGCTCGAAGCGGCGGTGACTTGGCAGTGGGAAATGGCCTTGCGCTAGTGTCCCAATGATAACAAAAACATATTTTGGCTTGCGTCTCAACAATTTTGAGGGTTTAGGATGTTCATGGATTATTGTTATTATTATTTTTTCTTCTTTCCTTCTTTCTTTCGCACTATTGAAACTATTTTCACCCATTGACGTGTGCGATACAATTCAGCACGACTGAATGATCCGAGTGGCCGAACCAGTTTATGTACAAGGATCGAGACGAACTCTTCGTAAGAGTCCTTCGGCCCCGAAAGTGTCATTGTGTCTGACCGAGGATGTAAGCGGTAATATTCTCTCAAGATATGCTCAACACCTTAGATCTAGAAAGAGTCCTTCTGAACTCAAGTGGACACTGTGTACTTGGATCAGGTTGATGTACTTTTTTCATTTCATTTCAAGTCTTGTGCAGCTTATGGATGGATAGCTCAAATCCTCAAGACGATTTGAGCACCAACTCATCCCTACCACTGCAATTCTCGCAATTTTTTGGCTAGTTGTGACCAGCTTTAAGTCTGATCCAGCGCTTTCCCTCCAGGTTCATGTTCCTCGAGCAGACCTTAACAGGATCGTAGCGCATACAGAAGAGGACTTGACCTGAGCAACGGTTGTCATGGATACGCCGCAGCGAACGCCGCGGCGAATCTCCAAACGAGTTCTTATGAGATGGGAGGCTCTAGTTTATAGAGCGAGGATGGCAGCAGCCCTAAGAGGAGCAGGAGAGCACCAAGCCCTTGGGGGAGCTTCCAACACCACTGTGCCCGAAACCTTGCGTAGCCAGCGAGCTAATATTAACGCCATTTTGGAGACTGCAGATGAACTTGGGAAGCAGGATCATGAAGTGGCACGAATATGTACGAGAAAATTTATCTCTTTATTGTGTTCTGAACTGAAATCAGCCTACTGGGAAAATCGGGAGCTTAAGTGGCTCAAGTTTCTAGACCCCAATTTCAGCTTAACCACTAAGTTTTTAAAGTTGGGGTACGCGAGTAATCTATACAGGAATCTTTCAGCAAAGCCTCACACAGGGTGCTACGCAAAATGCATATGCGAATTTCGCCTTTCTTCCGAGTGAATCATATTTACTTTCTTTTATCCTGCGCAGGCTTAATGCTAATTTTTGGTTATCGCTTGTTGGTCTTGCAAATGGAGTAGTGTGTGAGCATGCGTATACTCTAGTGCAGAACTTGGATCCATATAGTGAAGGCAGAGGTGTATTGCAGTTCAAGACGGGTTTGCTGTCCGTCATCAAGGTATTTCTAAGCACAGTCTATAAGCTGGAGCTCATTTAGAATACGAACTTCTTTAGCGCATCCTGTTCAATCCTGCTGCATGACCAATGTATTGCATGATTGATGTGTAATGGAGGAGCATGACTGTTGCAGCAAAATCGTTCTAGAACAGCGGGAGAGAAGATTGTTCGAAGTTTAGATGCCGTCAAACTTCAAGAATTCTACAAAAAGTACAGAGAGAAGAACCACCTGGACAAGCTTGAGGCCGAGGCAAAGACGAGTCGGGAAAGTGATTCCTATGACGAGGATTCGGCAACGTGCGTATTGGCCGTAGAATTTTAGCTTAACAAGTGTCTGATGTGAACTCATCTATTTTGAACTCAGATCTCACCTGCAACTTTACTAGGCCTCTAATAGGAGTCGTATTGGGTTGCGCAGAATTGAACAACGTACTGAATTGCAAAGGAGAGTATACCTGACAGCAAGAATTATCAATGAAGCTATTGATGCTCTCACGGAGGATGGTCAAACCGAAGACCTTGATCCAGAGGTATATGTCATTTAGAACCCTTAGTTGCAGATATCCAATGCAATTGCAGTCTGTCCTTCCATGTTGAGAATTTTCATGGATTTCTTTTTAAATGCGGGCAATGGTAAATCGGTGGTGCGAAACTCAGTAAAGATAATCTATGTACTGGGGGAGACGGAGATGAGGGTGACCGATATAAACACCTGAAATCTCTGGCGAAATGATAATATAGTACATGTACAACGGAAGTTTAATTGAAGGTTTGGGTGACTGACAGTAGAGTGTACTCTAGAGCTGAGAATAAAAATTTTCTGCGTTTTCAGGTAGAAAGTCTAATTCATGATTTTTGATGCGTAATTTCATGAGTCCATGCAATATTATTTTATGAAATTCTGCGTGTGCAAATATATTATCCTAATGACTTGTATCAGTTGAAAAGGATAATGGAAGAAGATGCCAATAAACTAAGAGAATACAAGCCCTACAACATCCTACCCCTTGAGACCCCAGGGGTAACAAATGCCTTCTCAAGCTTTCCAGAGGTAGGTTCTGTATTCCAATACCGCGTTGCGTCTTTTCAGAACAGGCCTCCCTTCTTTCAATAACACTGATTAAATATTTGCATAATTTATTTTTCATTTCATTTCTGGATTACCTCAGCGCTTTGGCATAGGCTGCTGATGGTGGCCGCGATCACATTTGATGGAGTTTTCTGGACCATAGGTGATTGGAGCAGCTAGAGCACTTGAGTACAAGGTTTCATCATCAGAGCTACCTGATTTTCCGGAGGACTTCGACAAGCCGCAGGAGAGACGTGTAGATGTCTTTGATTTCTTACAGTATACATTTGGTTTCCAGGTTTGTGGTCTAGGACATTGACTTCGTTGGGAAAATATCGACCTGGCGTTGATTTCGTTGCGCAAGTCACTGAATGCTAAGAAGTGGGTTCACCGTGGTTTGCAGGAGGACAACGCTGCAAATCAGCGAGAGCATTTGATATTATTACTTTCTAACTCACAATCACGCCTGGGTGTCCTGGTTGATACCGAAATCAAGGTACGTTTAATTGCTCCAACATCAAACCATTGTCACTCTTCGGTTCACCCGAAATTGATGAACATCTATTTGAATTTCAAGATCTGACACACTGGGTCTTTCAACTATCTTATGTAAAGGTCCTCACCATAGGTAATCTTACCTTACCAACTTAAGAATTGCTTTGCACTGACGAGAGATGACCGATGTAATTGCAATAAGTAACGAGAATAGTTTTGATGTGGTGTCGAAACAACTTGCAGTTGGATGATGGTGCCATATCCCACGTGTACCTCAGCATGATGGAGAACTACGAGCGGTGGTGCAAGTTCCTAGGCAGGGAGTCCATGGCAAAGCGGTATGAATGTGTCTGCATTTCCAACGAGTGTTCATGCGGAGAATTATAGACATGATATACTATTGCTTCTATAATCAAGGTTGTTTGCAAAGGTGTTCTCAAAATCTTAGTGGTGTTAGAATACAAGTTGCGTGGCCTCGTGGACCGCGTAGACGTGGAAGTCTATTTCCTACGCAGTAAATAGTAATTCTATATATATATTTCAGTAGTGCTACTGCGCAAATGTTTGCACCAATCCCTTCATTTTCTGTCACCCCTTTCCTAAACTTGTGCTTCGTGGGGGTATAGAAAATCAATCCATCGAGACGAATTATGTATGATGGATTCTACTAATAATAATTCCAACACGATTTATGCAGTGCCTACTCAATGCAGTTGATGATATTCCTGACTGCTCTATATTTGCTGATCTGGGGAGAGGCAGCAAACTTGAGATTTCTACCTGAGTGCCTGTGTTACATCTTCCATCATGTAAGTATTACGTAATCTAATCTCTAATTTCTACTTACGTTGATTTTATATTTTCTCACTCTCTTTCACCATCTCCATGCAGAATGGGTCACTGACCTTCATTCTGTAGGTATCTCTGTTCTTTTTTCAAAATCTTACTTCAATTCTTCTAGAAAATGAGGACCAGCATTTCAGAATAGAACTCAGAAAAGATACAGATATGAGCTGCAGCGTTGTCTAAACTAGATTTTTGAGATGTGTATCGCAGTAAATGCGTTTGAATAATTTAAATTTTGTAGTTCAATTTCCGCTGTATCCCTTTTGTGTTACTTCACTTTGACAGATAGGATCTCTAGGGAGTGCATCTGTCACATATTCGGGTTGCCATAACAAGAATGTTCATTATTCATTGCGATTGTATACACTTTCGACATTCGGGTTGAGTATTAAGCCTTCGATGCTTTGCAGATGGCTGATGAAATGTATGATTTGCTTGATAAGCGTGAAGTTGAGAGGTCACGGACTTTTATCCACGGTTCATCCCATTCTTTCTTGGACAAGATTGTTAAACCCGTCCATGAAATTTTAGCTGCGGTAAGGCTCATGGCATGATTTGGTTCCTTTATTTTCTACCAAGTTTTAGTAAGCCAACTGTTCTCAAACTGCAGTTGGAATGTGGTGCTGAAGTCTGGTTTACACAGCTACAATATGCACTTGTGTTTGTGTCTTGCTTTGTCAGCTGATGACGGAATCAACAAAATTGGTGTTAAGTTCGATTTATTCACATGCATGAAACTGCACTCCAAGAATTGCTATGTGTATGAGATAGTGCTTAAGCTAGAGACAACCTCTGAGAACTACAGACCTAGCAGTCTAGATTAGAAGTACACACATAGACCTTGCATAAAAAGTCATAAACGCTGAATTTGTGGAATTTTTTCTGATTTAGGAGTCGAAAATGTGCGCGGCAGGAAATGCTCCACATTCCGACTGGAGAAATTATGACGACTTTAATGAGTTTTTCTGGTATTTTTCTTCTCCTCCATGATGGTTCTATTCCCCCTCCGTTCACTAAGCCAAAGCTGTAAGGGAGACATCTAGAATGAAACTCTTACTGAGATAACCTGTTCATTCACTCAGTTCATCTGACACAGCAACTAGTTGTATGTCTCTACACAAGAACTATGTAGCTATCGTAGAAGACATCTTCACTGAATTTCGACTCTTCACTAATTTTAGATTTGTAAGAATCACCAAAATATGCGTTTTATTCTGCGTGACCAGGTCGCCATCTTGTTTTGAGCTGTCGTGGCCTTGGAGATTGGATGCAGGGTTCTTCAGAAAGCCTGAGAAAAAAATCTACACTGATGCAGACAGATGTGTAAGTTTGTGCATATTTGGACTTAGTAACCATTTCATTAATTTAAGTTTTCCGAAGCTTGAAGTACTTGAATGCGTTAGAGTGTAACTAGGGTATGATAATCCACAGTGGACTATTAAGCCAACAGACAACTCTGGTCGTCTCGCACCTGAATCTTTTTGGCAGCCCCAACAAAATTGCCTGGAGTTCATGACTTGTGTGATGTTGGTGTTGATTGAATGCGAAAATCATCTTCTATGATTAGCTCCTCTGCAAAAACAACCTGAAACCTTATTTGTATAATAAATATTTTGGTCTTTGTTTGTTTCTTTGAGTCTTATTTTGCGAGTTTAAGATATGTCGAAGCTTAAATTTGGCATGCGTGGGATCATATGATGAAGCTTCGGAACAGGGATCATCTGGAGGAGCCAATAACACTCGAACAAGAGTCTCTACCCCATACGGGTGAACCGCAGGAAAAAAAAGTGGGGAAGACTCATTTCGTTGAACACCGGACTGGCTTCCATATTTACCACAGCTTCCATCGACTATGGATATTTCTGGTGTGCATGCTTCAGGTAAATCAAGAGACTGGATGCAGCTATTATTATATTTTGATGTCGATCTAAGTGCTTCATCGACTAGGCTGATTTGTAATGTATTTAACAGAACTAAAGAGTGCACAGTTTAAATTTAATTTAAATTAAAAAATAACAAATGGAAAATAGAAAATTAAAGTGATATTCATGAAATTAATCACAGGGAAATAAGTATTAGTCGCTACTAGTTTTACTGATGTGGAATGAATATTCGATCTTGTCATAGCGAAGAGCTGATTTCGGGGGCATTTTGTGTAATTGGCGAGTTTAGGGGCTGGGAATTTTTGCCTTTTGCGACCGCAGATTGACGTTACGAAATATCAAGTTGATTATGAGTGTTGGGCCTACCTTTATACTCATGAGACTCATTCAATGTGAGCTGTCTTGCCCACTGGTTCTATGCTTTTAAACTTAACAACTGCTTCATCCCTTCATGTTTTAAAAATATGAACTGACAACAAGTATCATTTGCAAATAAGACGAGTTCTGTGCTATCTTTGAAAGGTTGCATATCGTCTTGATTATGGACAGTAGTTTTAGATAATTGAGCTCGCTAAAATCAGAAGCAGAAAAACAAGTTCAACAAAACCGTCACTAACAATCGAGTTGAATTCCTCAATTAAGAATGTATTTGTTGCTGTTCGTTCTGACCTGTTTCCGTCAAATTTTCTAATTTAGTCGTGGGTCCAGCTGTGATGGATGTTACACTGATGATTGGAGCTTATCGGAGCACTAGGAAGCGCAATATTTCAAGGATGTTAATTCGCTTCGTGTGGTTTATTGTCCTTTCCACAGTCGTTGTTCTGCTATATGTGTAAGTCTTCTCAATATACTCGGACAGAGATGCTTTCGTCTGGTGTTCAAAAACTTGGTTAAAACGTCCGTCCTAGATATCCTACTCTGCAGTAAAGTATCGTGTAAAATGGTATTACATGGCATGTCGCGTATGTCTTTTACTTTTAATTACCCCTTTTTGATATGTGCTTCAGCACATGAGTCTGTAAGTTAAGTTGCCTTCTTGGTCGCAGGAAGACAATTGAGGAAGAAAACAGCGGATCAGGAGCTGATACCTGGTTCAGAATCTTCTACTGGGTATTGGGCACTTACGCTGTAATTCACATGGTCATTGCTCTGCTACTTCGTGTTCCATGGTTTCGAATGCAAGCAGAGAGGTGTTCAAACTTTTATGTCTTACAATTCATTAAATGGGTACATCAGGTAATAAATTCTTCAACCGAGCTTTCTGCTTATGGCGATGCGTTGAAATCTTTGGTTTCAGATCCGCTCGAATCATGTCTGCAGTTTTAGGTGCTTCTTGTAGGTGAAACCCAATGATTTTTCTGGTTAGAATTTCTAATATAACTTTTTGGGAATGCTCTATCAGGAGCGATACTATGTGGGGCACAACATGTACGAGAGAACTCGCGATTACTTCTCGTAAGCTACGCTGCCGTGCAAACAACTCACAAACAGTTCTTTGATCATTTGTTTTAATCAACTATACTTCCTTGACATACAGTTTTTCAGGTGGTAATTGATTCAATGATCCTGTACGTTTATCGTGAAAGACATATAATGAAGATATGAAAGATACGCTTGACAACTACCCGTTGCTTGACCCGCTTCTGCTCATGTTTTTCCAGGTACACATTATTCTGGTTCATCGTTGGAACTTGCAAGTTTGCCTTCAGCTACTTTCTGCAGGTGAGCTTACCATAAGCTTTACCAAGGAATGCTTCATTGAGTCTTCTAGGTGTAAGTTCACGTGAACCTAAGTATCCAAGGCTTAGCTTAGCAAATGTGCTCTCAAAGTGAGTTTTTTTTTCGTGTACAGATCCAGCCCTTGGTTGAGCCAACCAGAACTATCATTGGTATCAGAAACGTCAATTATCGTTGGAAAGACCTTATCTCACAAAGTATTTCTCTTCCACTCTCATTGACCCATTCTGAGAAGTTGTGTTGTTATTGATTATGCTTGGTCCAAATGGAGCTTTAAACTTAATATAGATCGTTTAGGCCACCTGTTAACATCTGTAACTCTTTACTTGAAAATATAAGGCTAGTGTTCTAGCCCAGCATGGTAAAACCATAGCAGATGAAATTCTTTATTATATGCGCTAAGTTTGAAATTGTAGTTGATTTAAAGTGTTGCAAATTCTGAAGAGCTGCTCTTACATTGTAATGATAGGCAATCATAATGCCCTTACTCTGGTGGCTTTATGGGCTCCTGTTATTATGGTACTGAATCTCCCGCTATCACTCTTACCCCAATTTTTATTTTTTGTCTTGGATTGTTTCTACGAATTTATAGTTCGGCTTCGTTTGAGCATGGGACAATTCAGTATTATACTAGAATGTTTCGAATTTCTTTCAGATCCGGAACTCGATTGATTCGTAATGGTTTCTTTACAGATTTACTTCCTGGATACTCAAGTGTGGTATATACTGGTATCTGCTCTCATCGGAGGCTTTGCAGGTGCTAGGATGCATCTTGGGGAGGTATTCCTTCGTTTTCCATCTCGAGCTCTTTTTAAAAATTCGACTTGCTACAGTACCTGATTGCTTGAATTAAAGTTTGCACTTTCTTTTGGTCTTGCATCAAATATCTACATCTGAAATACGTTTTCTTTTCAAAAGAAACTATCGTTCTATGTTTATGTGACAGATTCGAAACCTTGACATGTTGCGGTCACGGTTCTTTTCTTTGCCGGGAGCATTTGTCACAACTTTAGTTCCCACCAGAAGCGTTAGCCATTCTCAAATGTAAATATGTTTGTGCCTAGTTTATATCTATATTGACCTGAGCAGATGCATGGGATTGTTCCAAATTTACTGGGGCAAAAATGATTTAGATTTGGTGGTTTCTTCACCTTCGCGTTTTTTGCATGCAATTCTCATTTACGGTTCAGTACCTTCTGAATAATGGATTTATTGAGGTATGTAAATAGTAAAGTTCTTGATTGTGCATATTGCCTACTCTGAGCTTTCTTCTTTGCTTTTTTCAGGGACATGAGTGTTCCTATCAGTGCACCTAAGGTGGAGTTTCCAGCTAACCTGTCATATCCTAAATGATTCACATTTTGGTGGTTGTCACCTTAGTTAATCATCTTATCAACTATGCTATTAGCATGATAATATGGCTGTTTCATTACAGTTTCCTTCTAATATTATCTGCCCCTGCTCATAGTTTGTTTGATGACCTTACATGTCTTTAGGACTTGACTGACAATGCAAAAGTTGATGCTATTCGATTTGCCCCACTCTGGAATGAAGTTATCCTCTCTTTGCGTGAAGAAGATCTCATCAACAACAGGTAAAGACATGAATTCTCTAGTAGGTTGTGAGGTTATGGCATACATGAATGCTATTCACCTTCTCAGATAATACCACCATCAGTATCGTGCAAACTATCAAGCGAATTATAAAATGACTAAATTCCCTCAGCCGATATTCTGATAGTTCCAATATCGCATTAGGATAACGTGCGCCTTTGTTATTATCAACTTCATCTTTTCAATGAACTTATTGGTATTATCGCGACGTACTCCCTATTGAGCTTTATAGTTATTTGATATCAACGGTTGTGTCGCATGTTCAATAACATCATTTGATGATTTGCTGTGGAGCTCATGTTTTTCTTTTTGTTCTTTATGACAGAGAAAAAGAGTGGTTACTTATGCCAGATAACAAAATCAGACTTGGAGCATCAGGACAACAGACATTGGTTCAGTGGCCCTTGTTCTTACTTGCCAATAAGGTCATTTCAGTAAACATCTCATCCTTTTATTCAAATTTCACTTTCTGCTGGAATCACTTATATGGCGTCAGATTTGGTAACGTTGAAACCTCTTCTTTGCTATTGAGTGCACAGGTATATATTGGAATAGATATCGTGCTTGAGAACAGGAACTTTTTTCAGAATGAGCTCTGGGATAGAATCAAGCGCGATCGATATTTAGAAAACGCTGTGCAGGAAGCATTTGTATCTTTACAAAGCGTCTTGTTGCACTTATTGAATGAAGATGGACGTGCTTGGTAGGGTTTTTTCTTTTGAACTTTGTTCTCCATCGTGTCTGTGCGGTGATAATGTGAAACTGATGTGATGGTGCATCATGATTGAATTGTATTGAGACCATTCAGGAATCAATATATTGGAATTTTTGCTTATTTAGCTTATTTTTGCTAATTTAGCTTATTTTTGGATTTGATTGAACAGTTTCTTGGTGCTGGGTTTTTCCTGTGAAGAGTAATGAGGATAGGCTTTAGACAGTATTCCTTTTTATTGCATCATGAAAATTTACAGGTGTTTAACTGGAACCTTTTCAAGAAATAGGGGCTTTCTGCCGTCTCTCTAGTTTTCAATGCTTATACTCTTGATCATTGTAGCGAAGGGAAATACTTACTGGCAACTGCTACTGCTGCTTTGGACAGGGTGGATAAGATTTACGAAGATATTTACAACTCTCTTGATACTGGAAACGTGTTGCACTTCTTCGATTTTAAAAATTTACTCAGTGTTTTGAACAGAGTAACGGAGTTGACAGAAATTCTGGTGCGTTTTCTAACTTGAGGAACTTTTGCTTGGTTCTCTGAGTATGGTTTTTTTCCGAGTATTACAGAACAGCTGCAGGTGCTGCAGTTCATTTTTAGGTATATTTGCTTGTGTTAACATTCTGTCAAGTCAAGTAACGTTTAGGATGAGGTCTTGGTGGTTGTAGTTTAACATATTATTATTATTACATGAATGAAAACCTCAAAAGCTTTTTAGACCCAGTGAACATTTATTTAAAACATTGCATGATCTACATTCCGCTGTTAAATTCGTGGTGGTTTAGGTGGCCGAGCCTACGAAAGTTGAGGAGAGTGAAATGCAAGAAGAGCAATTGAAGATGCAGGATAGGGCAGTCCGAGCATTGGTGGGTTTGTATGAAGTGGTGATGAGGGATTTTCTTGCGGATTCAGAGCTCAGGTCTGATAATAAGAGTTTTTGAGCTATGCGTATTTAAAGTAATTCTAGGTTACTGATGACCTTTACATCCTATATACATTATTACCACCGCAGGAATAAATCAACTAAGAAGGATTTACATCTACAATGTTTGAATTTATTTACTCTCACAGTTAAGATTTTGATCTCAGGAGTCAAAGTTTGTTTGTGTTTTAAGCCCCCTGACGAGCACATAGGCTTAATGGTCATGTTCTCTGTTTAGTTGGAATCTTTGTACCAGTTTCCCTAACGCTAGTGAATTATGACTTCTTGAAAAATGTGCTTCATGTTACCATCCCTCAATCGATGATTTGAGTTGTTGAGCCATTAGGATCTTAGATCATTGATTAAACTTGAATTCTATTGAGCAGTTTCAGGAAAAGAAAACATGTGCGTGAACTCATCCCTTTCCATCTTGTGAACACCAGGGAATATTATGAACAAGAGGAAAAATTACAGTCTGCCAAACTGGATGGCAGTCTGTTTAGCGACTTGAATTGGCCTACTGGACTATTTGTACGTACAATGCAGTTTCACATAAAGATCACGTCTTTGATTCATTACATACTAACTTTTCACCATCCTTACTGTCATTAGCTCGTTTTTGGAGCGTTTTTATGTGAAATTGTTTTTCAATACGAGGGAGTTTGATATTAGCTTCAAGTTGTTGCGTTCGAGTTGATATCCTTAAGTTTTCTGGATATTGATAGTCAAAGATTTGAAATGGTATTTCCAGAAAGACCAAGTTAAACGACTCCATTATATATTGACAATCAAAGAGTCGGCATTGAATGTTCCGGTTAATTTGGAAGCCCGCCGACGTTTGCAGTTTTTCAGCAACTCGTTATTTATGTCAATGCCTCAGCCACCACCTGTTCGAAAAATGTTTTCTTTCAGGTCTGTAATCTTCTACTCCGGTCCTAGTAATTATTCACGTAGGGAATAATGGAGAATGGACATCAGCAGACATTCAAACTCATTAATTAATTCAACTGCTGTGGGCCTCAATGTAGCTTTACCATGAGTTAGTGATATTTTCTGATACTTTCTAATTTTTGAGCAAGGGCAGCTTTTCTTTTCTTATCAAGATTAAATTGACGGGAGATTATGCTCGTTCGATGATATTGTTATGCAGTGCGCTCACTCCTTATTACAACGAGGATGTCATGTACAGCAAGGCTCAGTTGGAGGATAAGAATGTTGACGGCATTACTATATTATACTACCTGCAAACTATCGTACCAGGTTATCTCACATCCTCCATGTGGGATCAACTGATCTAACGTGAGAGGAGATGTACTTCTATCGTTTTAAGTTTCGTCCTCTTGCTCTCCAATACTTCTCGCTTGCCTCCTAACCGGAATGATTGCCAAAACGCAGATGAGTGGAAAAACTTTCTTGAGAGAATGATTCCAGGTGTAGATTACAATCAGCTGGGACTTTATACAGAAGCCAATATTGATGCCATAGATATTGTGCAATTGCGCTTGTGGGCCTCGTATCGGGGCCAGACTCTTGCTCGAACAGGTGGGTGGTTCGAGAATTTGAACTTGGCCGCGTTGCCTGTTAGTGAAGCATAAAAAGCTTCCTGAACAGAATTGTATGCCATCCTTAGTAGACATTCAGCACAGGTTCCTTGCCGGAAGTCAAGATCATAATATTTTTTTTGTGCTGCACCATATTTAGAAATTGAGATACTTCCGTCGAAATTATCACGTCATGTCTTGCTTTTAATTTTCAGCTTTGATTGTTTCTGCTTTAACTTGAATTTCTTACATGATGAGAAATTCTCAAATTTCAATTGAGATTATTGTACTAATGTCTTTATATGATTTTATATAATTGACCAGCTAATAAGCTTCTCAAACTAGAATGATCAGTGTTCTTTCGTCTCCAGGACTTGTGCTGCATCGTCCACATATCTGTATATGAATATTCATTGATGAAACTTTTATGTATATTCAGGGTGATAATCTCGTTTCCAATTAGCTCAAACTTCTAATTAGTGATTATTGCATGATTAGCACACTGTCTCTCAAGTCTTAAACTTGAGACACTTAGCCCAGTCCGTTGAATAAACTCGGATCATTCCTCGTGATTCTCTGTAGTCACGAATTAGGTTCATTCTTTATGTGTTCATTTGCAGTTCGTGGGATGATGTATTACAAAAAGGCCCTATTATTACAAGCACAGCAAGAAGGGGCCTCCGTGGCAGGTACTGGTTTCATTCTGATGTGCTCACTACAGAGAAGTATATTTTTTGTTTGAACCGATCGTTCCGGAAGTTGCTGTTCAGTTTTAACATATTGCTTCAAGTGCATAGTATGGAGCGCGAGTTCATACTGAATCTTAAAAGCATTACTTTCCACATTTCGGATTTTTCTGTTCGTAACTAAAAAATCATGATGTGAGTATTCGGAACTATTCAACATTTTCCTTTTAGTGCGTATCCAACTCAAGTGTCTCGCTCTCCTGCATGCAGAAGACGAAGAAGAAGGGCACGACATTGTAACCGATGAACTTGCACTTGTCAGTTTGAGCACACCTCGCACTCCAAGAGGATCACTCGTCCGGAATGCACGCTCTCAGGCAGAACTTAAGTTCTGTCATGTTGTAACTGCTCAAAACTACGGGAAACAAAAGAACAGTTTGTTAACAGCAGACAAGGATAGAGCTGCAGATTTGTTGCGTCTTATGCAAATGTGAGTCATCTTTCTGTTCTTTACACTTTGTCCGTGTTCGTCAAATATTCCATGCAAGGTTACGGGTTCAAACTAATGTCAACCAAGTTATCGAAAGATCCTATAACGTGCAAGGCATGAGATTGTACAACGGGTTTCAACCTCATGATTTAACAGATTAGAACGACTTTCCCGGTAATGACATCCAACTGATAATAACCTGTTGTACATCGCCTTCTGAATTTAGTACTTCACCAATATTTGTATGCAGTCTAGGCAGTTGTACACCTAATCTTCTGACCCTGTTTTTCACCTGCCCTCAAATCAGCCAATTTTCAGCTCATTCATGGATGAAGCAGGTGAGCAGCATCGCATGTTAAGGGTATCGAAGGTCTGATTTGTTATACGAGGAACTTGACATTTAACTTTGTAATGACAGGTATGATTCATTAAGGCTAGCTTACATCGATGAAGTGAAGAAGATGGTTCAAGGGAAAGAGATTACCGAGTTCTACTCAAAGCTTGTTAAAACGGATCTAAGTGGCAAGGAACAGGTAGTGATACACTTCACTGTGAATCATGCCTCGGGAACTTCTAGCACTCAAACATAGTGAATTTGACGCATGTGATTGACCACCGGACATGAAGATCCTCATTGCACATGAGTGTTTTTGCGCTTGAGTACTGTCTTAATATACTGTTCAGGAAATATATTCAATAAAACTTCCGGGAGAAGTCATATTGGGAGAGGAGAAATCTGAGAATCAGAATCATGCGATTGTATTTACTCGTGGAGAGGCCCTTCAAACCGTCGACATGAACCAGGTTGATACGATTATTATTTCTATACTACTAAGTTTGCAAATTACTTCAATATGAGTTGTTACATTAGGGGTTCCTCCTCGGTCAAATTTGACCTGAATTATTGCTTTTTTGTTTATGGCTGTACCCATCATATTTTCTGTGTTGTGAAATTCTTAAGGAGAATTATCTGGAGGAAACTCTTAAGATACGAAACCTTCTAGAAGAATTTGATTCAAAAAAACTTGGATTTCGTCGCCCTAGAATTCTTGGAGTTCGTGAGCATGTCTTTACTGGCAGGTATGATTTTGATTTTTCCCGGTTTACATTGAAAAGGAATACTTCGCTTAATCTTCCCTTAGCTGTTGTAACATCGAGTCAGCCAGAAAATTAATTATGGATCATTTTACAGAATCATCTCTCTGAAGTGGCTTCCTGTGTGCAGTGTGTCTTCTTTGGCATGGTTCATGTCTTTGCAGGAGAGGAGCTTTGTCACGCTTGGGCAACGAGTCCTTGCAAATCCACTCAAGTGAGTTTACGGGCTGGTTCTAGTTTGTTTTCTGCAAAGTCAGTGATCAGGAGAAACCCTGTCTTAAAATTATTAGTCGATTCTTCTAATTCACAGGATGCTTACATTTGTTTGATTATGCATCGTCATGGTCATAATTATCAGGACCATTATTTGAGAATCTGCTTATGAACTTCATACTAGTAAATGGTGCACAATTCATGATTAATATATGTGTTATGCAGGGTGAGAATGCACTATGGACATTCAGATGTGTTTGATCGAATATTTCACATAACGAGAGGAGGTGTAAGCAAAGCATCAAAGCAGATCAATCTCAGTACGGACATTTTTGCAGGTTGAAAATCCTGCTGCTCATTATTTTATAATGACACTCTAGTATCTGCATTGATTCATGGAAAACATGTGTTTTTGTCGCTTATACTTGTGTGTATTTTCACTCTTCAGCCTCTCTCCAAGTTTTACAGTTTTCTCTCGTTCTTGGTTTCAAGCAAAATTTACTACAAGTTGTAACCAGAAGTTGTACCATTCCAGGTTTCTGCTTCATAAGAGAGTGGATCAGCCAATGTTCTTGAAATCACATGCAAACTTTGATCCCCCTGCTCGATGTCACTGCAGGTTTTAATAGTACATTACGTCAAGGGAACACTACCCACCATGAATATATTCAGGTTAGAATTGACAATGTCTATTGATTTGTTTGATGCTCTGAAATAAACTTTCACTGAAGTCGCTGACTTTTACTGCTGATAACCCACTGAATTATGAGATGACAGTGCGGAAAGGGGCGGGATGTGGGATTAAATCAAATCGCGGCCTTTGAAGGCAAAGTGGCTGCTGGAAATGGAGAGCAAATACTCAGTCGTGACGTGTTTCGATTGGGCCAGCTGTTTGACTTCTTCAGGATGCTGTCTTTCTTTTTCACTTCAGTTGGTTATTACTTCACCACCATGGTAAGTATCTGGAGCACTTCTTTGTTACTGCTACGGTGCTGCTGTGTAGCACACCTGTCTGTTCTGGCAAAAGATACACGTGGTCAATGTGATTTACAGTTTGATTTATTAGATAAATGTTCTTACGTATGATAAACATGTTGGAAATTCCAATTTCGGCCATGACAAAAAATTGAAAAGTAACTTGCGTTTTGTTTGGCAGCTTGCAGTGCTGACCATCTACGTGTTCCTGTACGGCAAAGTGTACCTGGTATGGAAAGATCAGCTATACTTGAACCATCAGGGCTTCTGAAATTCCCATTTTGCTAAACCTGGGATTAATTTTTATAATGAACTGGGGCCGACACATCTATTGAGATCAATGCGTAAATTCTGGATTCCTGTATAGAATGGTCTTTAGTATGTTCTAATTTTGATGAACTACAGGCACTGTCGGGTGTTGATGCGGCGCTCAAAGCCAACAGTTTATTGGATAACACTGCGTTGCTAGCTGCCCTAGACACACAGTTTCTTCTTCAAATTGGTGTTTTCACAACTGTGCCCATGATTGTCAACTTCGTTCTGGAGCAAGGTGTTATGCGGGTATGTATGTTCTCGATTCAATGTATTCTTTTAAATTTGCTTGTTCTCCCTTTCTGTCCAAAGAATTTCTGAGTCTTTATCACAAGTGCACCATGCAATGTGCCGCGCACTGACGTATCATTCTGAGTCCAGTAACTGCAGAAGAGCAATTAAAGACCGGTTAAACCGCAATTTTATCTTTATAATTTAGTTAAAATTGTGTTCAATATGTAAATTTATACATAGGTTCTTTTCTTGTCATGAATTCATAGTTTGAAAGCAAAGTCATGTGAATACTTTCTCCCATTTTATCACTTGCATAATTCATAAGTCCGCAAGTTGAAAATTGAGTATTCTCGAAAAGGTACTTTTTGATGAAGCAAGGAAATCATGAGGGTATGACCTCGTGCTTCACGTCTCTCTTATTGTCATGGATTTGGCAGGCGGTTATCAGTTTCTTCACCATGCAGTTTCAAATGAGTTCACTGTTTTTCACTTTCTCACTTGGAACTAGAACCCATTACTTTGGTCGAACTATCCTCCATGGAGGTACCAAGGTATGCTGTCCCAATGCTGTAATAACATGTGTGCTCATTTGTACAAGTCTCTTGTGTGTGAAATCTTTTAAGTTTTTAGAAGATCATGATATCTGTGCAGATTTCTTTGTCATAGATCACAAATCTATATTTGCTGAAGCTCAATTCGACCAATACCTTAGGTTTTCTGGACATAAATCCTATAGAATCTGTACTATTGACTCTGGTCAAAACCAACATGATGATTTTGGTAGTTCTAGTCTTATAATAAGCGGACTTAGGTCTTTTATCTTGTTCTGTGCACGTGATGGAAACACTTGGATATCTTGCAGTATAAATCGACTGGAAGAGGTTTCGTCGTGGAACATGTCCCTTTTGCTGAGAACTATCGGACATATGCACGTAGCCATTTTGTAAAAGGGTATGTTTCAGAGCTTCATCTCAATATTTCAATTTTATAGTACTTGACTAAGTATAAGGTTTTTTTTCTGAAGTCTTTGTCCTTGGTGTGGTAGTTCCCTGGTTGTTTTAGTTTGGACACAGCTGGTGTTATTATATCTTTATGTTAAAGTCGATGAAGTATATGCAGTGGTACATGTTACGTGTCCGTAGGGTAAGCTTTTTAGAATGGCTCTGTCTCTCGAGTTCTCTTGATCAATCCTTGGGGGTTGGGCTAATAGTTATAGCACTTTTCTGTAACACACCTCTTGGTTTTTGGAGGATGGCAAATATTTAATATTCTAAATGTACTGCGTTCTTGCAGAATGGAGATTATAATATTGCTGATTGTATACGTTGTCTACGGGGCTCATGACTGGACGGCTGCCAGCTACATTCTTCTCACATTTAGCAGTTGGTTTCTGGCTCTTTCATGGTTATTTGCTCCTTTCGTCTTCAATCCTTCAGGATTTGAATGGCAGAAGTAAGAAACCACGAACATTCTTGACCTTTTTCGATGCGTTTTTCATTTGGGTCCTTCGATTGACATGGTTCCTTTCCGACTTCAGTCTTAAAAGTGGGTGGCCTATTGACTTCGGGCACCAGGTTCTGATTTTCTTCCTCAATAAATTCAGGACTGTCAAAGATTTTGAAGACTGGACAAATTGGTTATTTCACAAAGGAGGGATTGGAGATGAGGGCAAAAAGAGTTGGGAAGTTTGGTGGAATGAGGAGCAAGCACATATTCATACGTTCAGAGGAAGACTTTGGGAAATTATCTTAAGTTCGCGGTTTTTTTTATTCCAGTACGGTATTGTGTATGCCCTCAATGCAGCAGGCAACAACAAAACTTTCTGGGTAAGTTAACCCATTTCTGAAGCATACTGAATCGATGTGCCTACTTATGAGAACTTCATTGTATGCAGCAGGTGTCGCATTGCTTGATATAACAGAGCTGTAATATCCTACGCACAAAGAACGTGGTTCTGGCGGGGTTTATCACCGATATTTTGGGCTAATAATTCCTTTCTGTGGATTGGCACAGGTCTACGGGTACTCCTGGGTGGTTATTGTTGGTGTGTTTCTTCTGTTCAAGGTAGAAGCTAGATTCTGGATTTATCTTCATTTCCTTCTATTGTCGCATCGAGTCTGGTTTTCACGAGTCCATGAACCATGGACCAGTTTTTCTAGAATATAAAAACAATGTTATAAGTCAATATTCAACCTGAGTTTAGTTTCATTTGCACTACAGGATGATAAATCTCTTGTGATACTAGGTTTTTAAATGGATCTTGTATGTGAACAGATTTTCACATTTAGCCAGAAGGCATCAGCAAACTTTCAGCTGATCGTAAGACTATTTCAAGGCATTGTGTTTTTGGCGGTAGTCGCTGGTGTGAGCGTGGCCGTGGTCCTCACAGAACTTACAATCGGTGACTTGTTTGCTTGTTCCTTGGCTCTTATTCCAACTGGTTGGGGCCTTCTTTCTGTGAGTATCTATTTCCAAGCCCGAAACATAGTATATCGATGGAAGGCATTCGATTAGAGACGTTTTGCTACAATGTCTATTAGATTAGCAGTGCACATATGACCTAGACAAATTTCCTGTACCTTTTATCGGGGTAGCGTCTAACAAGGTGGACGTTGTATGGTTTGAGTTTGTGCAGATCGCCATTGCACTTCGTCCAGTTTTCAAGTGGTTCGGGCTTTGGAAATCCGTGCGTGGAATCGCCCGCTTTTACGATGCAACCATGGGAATGATTCTGTTCATCCCCATCGCTCTGCTGTCATGGTTTCCCTTCGTTTCCACATTCCAAACACGGCTCGTATTCAATCAAGCGTTCAGTCGTGGACTAGAGATCTCTGTTTTGTTGGCCGGCGACAACCCCAATGCTGCAATATAAACCAGGAGGAAGTTCTAGTTCTAACTTGAACAATCCCTTAAACAAACGAAATCTACTTAGAAGCTCCTTCAACATAGCTAAGGATAGTTCCCGTCTGAAAAAACTCACTGGCATGAATTGCAGGACACATCACGTACACAGTTGCACAGCCGATGCAATGTATAGCAAGTCGGTTGAGGCATCTGGCATTTTCTTTGCATACTGCACGTCATGCTTGTTTCATACATTTCTGTTAAGAATTCTGGCTCCACGCTGATTTACTGGTTCAAACTACCAGCTTTGTCCCGAGACAACATAGTAGTCAAAAGCCTGTTGCGAAGTGAGAGCAGAGCACAGAGTTTCCCTTAGTTCGACTGCTCAAACAGGATCAATTCAGTACAAACATTGTGATATCGGATGAAATAGAGAAAACATCCTTCTCATTTTTTTGTCAAGAAAGGAAAAAATGCAGTGGCATCGTGACAAATTACATCTCGACGGTAAAACTAAAGTGAATGTAATCTTAGATCATTTCAAACTACCATATATACATTTTGCACCAACCCTACAATTTGAGTTATCTCCAAGTTGCAAACCAATCAATATTCTCGGTGAACACACAGATCTTCGGCCAACTAGCGTAGACAGCAAAGTAATATACAGATAAACCTATCAAACTACGAGACTATTTTGCAAATATCCTCGTAATCAGCAGTAATAATCCTCCCGTCGAAGGCGCCATTTTCTATTCTAACGCTAGCCGCAAACTTCGATGTGTCGATGGATAATAACCTCGCATTGGAACCTCGGTAAGCTCCGTTCACAATCCTCACCACGCCTCCTATTTGCGGAATCACGGTTTCTAGCTCCTCTTGATCAACTTTCAGAACATGCTTGCTGTCTAGCATCTCAATCTCGCCAACGTACTTGCCGATGACTCGTTGCACAACTCCTTTCTGCTTGTAGTAATCCGCCAAATTGCGGCTCATCACCTTCACGACCAAGTCCTTACACAACCAATAGTCCTTCCTGTTCACCCTCTCCTTCCCCTGTTCGGACTCCCGCATGATTTGCGCAAGCACGTCGCCTTTACTTTCCTTCCCAATTAACACTTTCTTCGCCTTCTTGGCGGGATTAATTGCATCATCGTTTTCCTCGTCTGCAGTCCAAAGTCCGGCGGTTACACAATTGATACGCAACTAGCGGAACTTGTCACGGTCTTATATCTGAATCAAAGATGAAGAATGATTGGCTTTAGTGAAATAGGGATACACCCGATTACAACAAGAAAGGACAGGACACACCTTCTGCGAAAACCGAGGTTTTTTGAGGGCGCACAGTACTTCCGTCGTTGTGCAAAGGTGGTAAGCCTTCACCACGAGGTTTTATTTTCGGTCCTGAAGAGCCAAGTGCGAACCCTATTTTTTCTCCGTCCTGCTTCTGCAATTCCCTTTTTTCCTGCTCGGGTTGCACCTGCTCGGGTTTGAAATTCTTAGATGCTCTCTCAATCTGCTCAGCGAGAGCTCTATCGTGGCGCTCTTCGTCAGCGAGCTCTGCCCTCTCTCTCTTATTTTTCAAACCTTCCCTTAGCAAAGTCTCCGGCTCTCGATCTATAAAAGTTATGAACCAACCCTTCGGAGTTTCGTCCACCTTGCACTTGCCTTCCCGCCCCAAATACTTCACAAATTCTGCAAATGAAAAAACCAAAACACCCTAAGACAACAGCAAATCTAATGCTTTCCAAACTCACTTAACTACCCAGTATATTGACATGGGATAATAAAATGAACTATTTGAAGACCTAACAGAAAATCTCTCCTACAGCGAGTGCAAATGAAGAAAAAAAAAAACCAAAAAAACCAAAAAAACACCACCACCACCACCACCACCACCACAGAAACCCTAATTCGCAGTAAACAAGCAACACCCACTATGTACCTGTCAGAGTCGCCCACTTGGTCGAATTCATGTGAATATGATGCCGATTCGCAATGTACTCATTCCAAACAACAGTGGCAGCGACGCGGGTCGTCCGGTGCGAGCGCTTCAAATGCTCCATGAACTGTTCCTCAAACTCCTCCGAGAACCCGTCTATAAACCGATCAGGGTTATCCCCGAACACTTGCATCTGCCGCTGGTGGCCCTCCGACAAGCAGTGGCACTTAAACCCATTCTCGTCGCGGCACTGCTTCTGGCACATCTGGCAGTACCACTTGAGCTTCTGCAACCCCTTGGCCTTGATCCTGTTGGCGATTGCCTTCGGCGTCAGAAACTCGTTCTTCCCCATGTTCGCAAATCCTCGGCCACAAACACGCACTCTCACGCTGCCAACGTCGTGTGCTCCCGCAAATGATCGAGCTGAACCACGTCACAATCAAGCCACAGAAGACCAAATTCAGGCCACAATGGCAACGAGGAAACTAGGGTGAAGCTTCGGATGGAGCATTGCGACGAGGGAGGCAATTCTTTGGCGATCTTCGTTCCGCCTCACCGACCTCAGACGGACCTTCGTCGACCCTTTCTCCTCCTGCCATCGCCACTTCGAAGCTTCGTCGAGGGAATACTTCCCGTTTTACATTGCTTTCGCCTCATTCACTTTCTTCTTGTGGATGGAAATGGTCTCACAAGGGTTTGGAGATGGCTTCTGTATACAAATTATACGTACTATATACATGTATGTTTTGTGGATGTATAACAAACTACAATCACAAGCATTTCTTTAGAACTTCTTACATGTTTGTTTTCCTTCTTGTGGATTTTTAGAAATGTTTATAGTGTTTGTCTAATATAATGAATTAAAGGATTTATTTTTTTTAAATGACATATGGACATATTATTGAAACATCAATTATATAATTGTGTAAATAAACTACAATGCAACTTCTCTTATGATCAATTTACAACTTGAAGCAAATAAAATTGGCAAAATTGTAGGAATACATTGCTTAAAGTTAATTAATTAATTAATTAAAAAAACATATATATATATATAATAAATATTTAAAGTCATTAATAGAAATTCATATATATAAATAGATTATTAAAAATAAGTTATAATAACTGGAGACTAAAACAAGTCAATTTAAAAAATAACAATCCATAATCATTACATTTAAAAGTATTCAAACAACTAGTGCAAAAAAAGATTATTACAAAAATAAATTTAAAGAAAAAAAATAAAAGCACTAAATTATAATTTTTTTAATATGTTTTTAACCACAATAGTTTTAGATAGATGTTTTTTTACTAGTGAGTATTTTAATTTCAAATAGATTAATTTTATAGATAAATAGATACATAAATATAAAGATAATGTAATGGATGGATGTACATACAAAAATATTACTATCTTTAATATATGAGATTTATGAGAATAAAAAATATAAATATTTTAAATATAATAATAATTTAATTAAATTTATAAATATCTTTATAATCTTTTAACATATAATAAATGATATTTTTTTTGAATTAAAAAATGTTTCAAATTTATAAAAGATTTTTTTTTGAATTTATTTATCTAATATTATGATATTTAGACAAGAATTATTGTTCACATGTCTATTTTTTCCAATGATATGTGTCAAACAATACATACTCCTAAACTTTGCAATGCCATTAACATCAATAAAAGAAAACACATGAAGCTATTAAACTTAATTAATAAAAAAATAGCCTCAAAAACATTCATAACTTATAATATGTTAATTAATCTAATTAATTTAATAATAGATTTTGGACCAATAGGATCTAGATAACAAAAAATAACTTCACTAATAAATTAAAAGCAGATAAAAAATATCCAACTTACTTGAGATTTTAAAAATAGAATATAGAAATCTAAGACAAATTAAAAATGCTTGACCAAACTAAAAAACTTGTTTTTTTAGGTAGATTAAGATCCAAAATATTGAACATAAAGCAAGCCAAAAATTCCCAAATCACTTAAAAACCAATTTTTTAGGTTAGAAAAAATTAAGATAGTAAAATAATTAATTGCTTAAGCAATATATATATATATATATATATATATATATATATATATATATATATATATATAAGAGATGTATAAGTCCGCAACAAGATTAGATTGAAGTGTAAATTAAGATACCATGTTATCTTCAATTCTTTTTGTTCCAAAAAATAATGATAAATTTTTTATTTATATAGATTACTTTTTTTTTTAATGCTACCATTTGAATGGGTCTATATCTACATCTATTTTATGAAAAAGAATTTGATAAAGTTGCAAGTCACAAAAGGCATTTGTTCTCTTAAAGAGTTTTTAGGCACCACCATCTCAAGATATAACAATAAGATTGATATAAGATGATCTGAATTAAAATAAACCCTCTTTAGTTGGTAGCTTACTAGACCCTATATAAAAATTCATCATGGTTTAAGTATTTTAATTAATTGTGTTCTTAACTTAAAACAAATTAATACTATTCAAAATGACTTTGTGTAAAAGTGGCCTTAATCAACCTCAATATGAAGGAAATTTTGTCATTGCTACAATAGATAATCATTATTTGTTTTCTTGTATAATAGTGCAATTAGAACAATACTCACTACAACTATTAATAATAAAAGTTATAATACAAAAAAAAAATCTTTGTTTGTCAATTCACACCATTATAACATAGAACTCACATGGTTTATTTTTAGCTAACTCGTCACTTATTATTAAAGAACTTAGTTGATATTAGAAATCTTCCTCCTACTAGATTACAAGTCTAACATTCAAAAATTTGTTTTAGCTCAGGACTACTAAGTCATGATTTAAAAAACATACATTTTATTAATTATTAATTTGAAATAAATATAAGTTATATTTTAATTTAATTTCTAAACCTATGTCCTATTAAGAAAGTTGAATGGCTTATCTAAATTGCATCTTTGTCCAACTTCTCTTTGCTCTAAGTTCTAAGCTCTTTGATTTTTTAAGGTTAAAAATACTTAAAAGAAGAATTAACATAAGTTGTTTACTTGAATGGAAGTTGTATCTTGACTTGATTTCATTGTTTGAAGTTAAAAAATCCTAATACATAATTCCACATACAAAGTAAAACTAACACTTTATTTCTAAATAAGGTTACAACATTTTTACTTATGATAGACACAAAAAAATATAAGTTAAATTAAATCCCTCTGAGTAGATAGCTTATTAAACCTCACATAAAAATTCATCATGACTTGATTGTTTTAATTTATTACATTTGTAACTTAAGGTCTATCTAAATTTCCATTCTAAATTATTTTATATTAATTCAATCTAATACAAAGTTAATAAAATTTATGCATGCAAAAATCATTTACTCTAAAATTCTTCTTCTTTGGTTAAGTTCATCTATCAATGGTCCATATGTATTAGAATTTCATCAATTACCAAATTTCATTTGCTAAAATCAGCATCTATATGAAAATATTCCTTCTTCTATGTTTAACTTGACATAGTGTTTGTTTAGCACTAAATCTCATCCATGTCCAATGCCATGTATTTTGAATTTTTCAGCAAAAAATAATTGATGTCAAAAGAGGATCAAAAAAGAAACTTAATGTTGCTAATTAATAAGAACACTTAGCCGCCTATGCTTCAACAACCATTCATTATCTTATTATAATTTTAATCTTGTTCATAGCTGGATTAGATATTCTCGTCATATTTTAATTTTTTAATATATTAATTAGATCTTAATCCAACTAATTAAGGTGTTTAAATCTTAATTAGGTTGAATATTTTCAACATGCCTTGGACTTGTTAATTTAAACTTTTTTTATTATCCAAATCTTATTTGTAAAGAACTATTATTAAATTAAATAATATAATTAATAATTTTTAAATGGCTTTCAATATTATAAAATATAATTACTTAAAATAGGATATATTATTTAGATTAAAAAAATTTATTATAAAAATCTACACCATTTGGTAACCACAATAGGTAATCGTCTATAACTTAATAGTAGGCAAGGTTGGACAAAGACATCCGAATAAAGCAATTTCTTTACAAGATGATTGATTGTAGTTGGAAGCAAAGTCATTTATTGCCTAAAAGCTCTAAGTCATAAAATTATATTGTAAGAACATGGAAGTAGGAATCTAAGCAAGAAAAAATTCTATATTTTGTTGAAAGTAAAGATTTGATAGACATTAATAGAATGAAGTAGTACTTAAGTTTAAATATGATATATGTAAAAATAAAATTTATATTTTGATATAATCAATAAGATGATTTTAATTAAGAATTGATTGTAATTAGAGGTATAAAGTAAAAAATAAAAATAATAAGAAAAAAAATTAGTATAAAAGAAATAAAAGAAATGTAATCAAATAATTATAAATTCCAAAAACTAGTCAAAGTTTATTTATTATATTTTAACCTAATAAAAAAATATAAAGTGTATTATTTAATATTTAATTTTTATATTTCTAAAAATATATAAAATATATATTACTATAAATAATTTTAAATAATTTTAAATTTAATAAAAATATTTTTATCTCAAAAATAATTTGCTTAAGAAATAAAAGATTCAAGCCTTACTAAGGCTCACAAGTAGTGTACATAGGTACCTTAAAGAACCTACAAGATTTAAGTCATATCTTTCTACTCATATCCAAGGTACTACAATCTACATACATCATGTGCACTTCGTTTTTTTTTATAACTACTACATTAATTATTGGTTTGCATAAGAAATTATTTTCTATCTATAGTTTTGAATTGGATTAAATTATAATAAGTGACTTTTTTGATAATATATAGTCTTATTTAAAGATAATAAAATTTAATTCAAAATTATATTTTTATACCATATTAGACTTTAACTCACATCTTTATAATAAAAAAATAAAAAACCTTTATTTATTTATTTATTTATTTATTTATTTAGAATAATTCTTGTATATTAAATTGTAAATCTTTGAATTTCACTTAGTCCTTCTAAATTCTCTTATAAATATTTCAAATTTTCAAAAATGTCTAATCTTTTGTCAATAAAGTGCATAAAAATAAGACCTCAAATTTTATAAGTTCGATAGCTTTTATTTTATATGTCTAAAACAAATATATTTTTTGAAAAAAGAATTATAATTTATTGACAAATACTAAAAAAATAACTTTCAAATCTATAAAAGATCATGCTAATATATTATAATATTCAATTACAAAAGATTTGTATTATTTTTTTTTTCTTTTATCTAATCAAAATCTAAATTTGATATATTATCAAGGACATGAACTTCAAAGAGCTAAAATCTTAATACATTCTTGTGTTATTTAAAAAAACTAGAAAATCATTCAAAGATGATATAGTATTAAACTAAAATGGCTATTGTCAAAGAAAGTCTTGAAACAAGACTAAAGACTAAAAAGGCATTAATAAGAGTGAAAAAGGCTTCACTCTTGCCTCCATATATACTCTTAACTACGAGCTATGTGGAAATGTCTAATAAGATCTCCAAAATGTATTGACTTTACAAGATACATATCTT